TAGCGGTGGTTGGTGTAAGGTTGTGGTGGGAATCGTGATCGACGTCGAGGACAAGTTAGATCGCGATTATGTGTGCGGTATTCAATGTCACGGTACAAGTGCAAGTCGAGGACAATTGCGACTTGGTTGAATAGATTGATTACAGGGAGAGAAGAGATTCTTAAGGAGATCTATCTTTTAAGTCGGTTGACACTGGTCTGTGCTGGTTTATCCATAATTGTGAGTAGCTTCATGAATGAACGCAGGTCACCTGATCTGACTCCTTGACACTAGCCTAAGAAGGAGCATTACTTATCTTGTCTAGAGCAGAAATTGACTTGTAAACTATGTAGAAAATAATATACACGCTAATGAAACCATACATTAACCTCTACTGTGAACGTGGAGTAAACCACTACTTGCTGTGATGAATACAGAGTCAAGCCGAATACTACTATATTGAGCGAACTATAAAATGAGGAAAGAAGAGAGCTTTAGAGAAACATAAGGTTATATTCGAGCTGCACACACGTGCCATACTACATGTGATTTACCCCAGAGTCCCTCCAACTCTGTAAGAACAATTGGCTTTGTTACTTATGGTTTGAGCGAATAGAAAAGTGACCAGGGAACCTCGCTATGAAGTTTTCATCGCTAGATCCTGTTGTAATCGGGAACTTGTTGAAGTGGGTCGCTGAGCTTGGCTTAGTATGCTAAAAGAAACATTAGGTGATACTAGTATCTTAAAATCTCTCAATGTTAGATTCTTTATTATAGAAAATCTAAAATGCGACAATTTTGAATGTTTCAGGCCCTCGAATTCGGAATGTTCATTACTCGAGATAAGAGTATATCGGCGTGAGGGTGGTTCTATAGCTGAGTCGACAAGGTTAAATCTGAGTGTAAAGAAGCTTCCATTCGTTCTTAAAAGTTGTGAAAAATGGATGAAAACTTCAGTCAGACTCCGTAACATGACTGAATCCACATGTAGATGATTCCATGTATTATGTTAGGGTGTGATATGGGTAGGCATGAGAACTTTCCTAACGGACCGGAATGTCTTAGAGGCCGTAGCTGGACAACATTTGGCTGCTGTAAGAGCAGTAGCAATAGATTGAGTAGCATAGTAAGGCTTTTGTGTCGTAGAATCATGGGTTTCCACATGCTGTGAAGCCTGTCCTGGATACAGTTGAGATAGGCTCGGAGTACTTATGCGTCGAGGTCTAGAGGTAGTAATGATTGGTTTTGATGTGGGTGGGCTTGGAATCGTGCCACACTCTGCTTTAGCAATTGAAGAAAGGCTTTGAGCTACGTGCTCTAGCTCTGTAGCTGGTGCACGCAAACTGTCTTAGGAAAGTTCGAGCGGCGACGGGGTTTCAAATGTGATAGGCGAAGACCCATGGTACTTTGTCTCACTTTAGACGTCGACTTCATCAAGGTTATATGGCAGTCCCCCTTTGGAACGAGATTAGCAAGATGGATTACCAAGTCTAGGAATTACTTGCCATGGTCCGGGCTCTCTGGGCCTAGGGTTGCGTCTGATTGGGGGCATGCAACTATATCTCCATCAACCGGAGAATAAGAATTCGTTCTTGATTTCTTAGAGATATCCGAGGAAGGAAGAGTATTTGCCTTTCGCTATTTCTTGCCATTAGAACCTCATCAATAGAGAGTGGAGCCGGAACTAACCTTCTAATCGAAGCTCTGGCTGGTAGAAGCAGCACCTTCCGCACAATTATTTGCTTGCTTGCTTATTTCTTCTATCGTCCTGCATAAGTCAATGACTATCGTAGGATGACAAGGCCTCGGGCTGGATTTGACTCTATACCTAAGTGCAAGGAGCCGCCAAGATGAGAAAAGTCTTGCTCTCCCCCTTCTCTCCTATCGTCTTCCTTATACACCTTCCTTCTTCTAGCGACCCAAATTGACAGCGGTTTTCCCACATCCCCTTACCCGGCCATACGCTGAACCTTGATCGTAGGAATCGTGTGTATATTTTTACTGCGAAAGTAGGGTCTGTTACTGCCTCAAGGATTCGTTGATTTTGTCAACTTCCCCCCTCCTGCTTCCTCAGCCTTCCCAGAAGTGTGTTCTGAAATCCGTCTTGTAGGTATGCAGGTGGATAGATATGGCTGGTTTGCTGATTTTCGAGTTGGAGCCTCGCGATGGGTATTGTGCTTGTCATTGTGGTGGTACCTCTGAAATGGTGATTCTTGGCGTGAAAACTCTGCCTCAGGATTGCATCAACCCGCAAAATCTTCCAAACCACTAGACTGAATCTAGGCTCTGGAATAGTATTGCAAAGTGGCCTCGGGGACGACAGTGCGCAATTCCAGATTCGTAGAGGGCACCACGTACAGGTGTCCAGCCATCGCCCTCCTGGATGTGGCAGTGCGATGACTCCCTTCTTGCCCAATTTGAACTCGGCAACGAAGGGCGTGTGGGGGTGTGTGTGTATATTTAACGTCTTGACGTGACCAAAAATAGCAAATTGTTCGAAGTAGTAAAGACTGACTAGTGAGATAAGACGAAGGCAGAAAGGGTTCGTGTGAGCCACAGGCTAGCACCTATATAACTAACTCACGGCGTATTTATCTTATATAATAGATAAAGGATGTGGCTACAGATTTGTCAAGCCACAATCCGAAAGCCGCCTCTGGTTGCGCTGCGCCACGAGATGCATCACATGCTGCATCCCCGTCGCACAAAGTGCTATATCTGCCTAGACGTTAAACAGAGACACACACACAGACACTCTTATTCCACACTCCACTCTAGAATGTGAATTCTATTTTACTGTGTGTTAATATCTTCAGACACACGAGATTCTAGCCACCTGAAACCATGCGTCTTTTGGAGATGAAAAGCCCTGGCGAATTCAACCTGGCCAAGGTTGCCACCCACGACATCTTTCCCTACGCAATACTTTCGCATACTTGGACGGGTGAAGAGGTCTCATACCAAGATCTAATTAGTGGTGCTGGGAAAAGCAAGTCTGGCTACGAGAAGATTACGTTTTGTGGAGAACAAGCGACTAGAGATGGCCTACAGTACTTCTGGGTAGATACTTGTTGCATTGACAAGTCTGATCCAGCTGAGCTTTCAAAGGCTATCAATTCGATGTTTCGCTGGTATCAGAATGCAAAGAAATGCTATGTATACCTTGCAGATGTTTCGATACCTAGCAAAAACGCAGACGCTCAAACATCCCAGATCACGTGGGAAGTGGCCTTTCGAAGAAGTAAATGGTTTACGAGAGGCTGGACACTTCAAGAACTTATTGCTCCAGCCATGGTCGAATTCTTCTCTAAAGAGGGCAAGCTACTTGGTGACAAAAAGTCACTTGAAAAGCCAATTCAAGGCATTACCCATATTCCAGTTCAAGCTCTGCGAGGGAACCCTTTCTCTGATTTTAGCATAGCTGAGCGGAAAAAATGGGCAGCACAACGCCAGACAACAGAGGAAGAAGACATCGTGTACTGTTTGTTAGGTCTCTGCGAGGTATCTATGCCAACAATTTATGGCGAGGGGAAGATGGCCGCGCTAAAAAGGCTCGAAATGACAGTAAAGGGCTTCTCTCAGGGAGAGACCGAGCCGAGAGATCTTAAAGGTGCGGCAGATCTAACGTGATTTGGCCTGTGCTAATTACTCTTCTATAGACAATGTTGTTCCGTTCATCGTCCCATTCGACAAAAATCCCAACTTTACAGGCCGTAATTCCCAGCTTACCCAACTCGAAGAAATGCTATTTAGGGATCGTCGAACCACGAAGTTTACAGTTACAGGGCTTGGGGGTGTAGGAAAGACCCAACTTGTGCTTGAACTTGTCTACCGAGTCAGAGAGAAGTATAGGCATTGCACGGTTATCTGGATACCGGCGACCAACGTGGAAAGTCTATATCAAGCATATCTAGACGTCGCCCGACAGCTCAAGATCCCCGGTTTAGACGAGGACAAAGCGGATGCAAAGAAGCTTGTGCAAAGTTACTTGAGCAAGGAAAGCGCGGGTCGGTGGCTTCTAGTGTTTGACAATGCTGATGATGTGAATATGTGGATCACCCAATCTGGGCCAGGATCTAGTCGTCTAACCGACTACCTCCCACGAAGTGAGCAAGGATGCATCGTCTTCACGACGCGCGACAGGAAGACCGCTGTTAAACTTACACGACAGAACATCGTAGAAGTACCGGCGATGGACGAAGACGTAGCGATACAGCTGCTCCAGAAGTGTTTAATTAACCCGGATCTAGTTGAGAATAAATCAGATACAACAGCTCTACTGAAAGGGCTTACCTACCTTCCGCTTGCTATTGTTCAGGCGGTAGCATACATCAACGAGAATAGGATCGCGTTCGTGGACTATCTATCTCTTCTTACAGAACAAGAAGAGGACATTATCGACCTCCTTAGTGAGGACTTCGAGGATGACGGGAGATATGACAATATCAAGAACCCCGTGGCTACAACGTGGCTTATCTCGTTTGAGCAGATTCGCCATCGCGACCCTCTCGCAGCCGACTACCTATCGTTTATGGCTTGTATAAATCCTAAGGACATTCCCCAATCTATTCTTCCAGCAGGAGCATCTCGGAAAAAGAAGACAGATGCAACCGGGACACTCGAAGCCTACTCGTTTATTGTTAAGCGATCGACAGACCTGGCTCTTGATCTCCACCGACTAGTACATCTTGCAACGAGAAACTGGCTTAAGCAAAATAACGTAATCACCCAATGGACTGAAAAGGCGATTATGCGATTAGAAGAGGTCTTTCCAAATAATGACTACCAAAATAGAACTAACTGGAGGATATACTTGCCACACGTACGTTGCGTGCTCATGTCTGATGAAGCTAGCAAAGATAAGGACACCCGGATTACTTTGTCGCGGAGATTTGGGCTGTGTCTCCTTAGCGATGGACGATATGACGAGGCTGAGGCACCGTTTGTGGAAGTAATGACAAGGCACAAGAGAGTTCTTGGACATGAGCATCCCTCCACGCTGACCAGCATAGCCAACTTGGCTTCGACATACCGGAATCAGGGACGCTGGAAAGAAGCTGAAGACCTGGAGGTGCAAGTGATGGAGACGAGGAAGAGGGTGTTGGGAGAGGAGCATCCCTCCACGCTGACCAGCATAGCCAACTTGGCTTCGACATACCGGAATCAGGGACGCTGGAAAGAAGCTGAAGACCTGGAGGTGCAAGTGATGGAGACGAGTAAGAGGGTGTTGGGAGAGGAGCATCCAGACATGCTGACCAGCATAGCCAACTTGGCTTCGACATACCGGAATCAGGGACGCTGGAAAGAAGCTGAAGACCTGTTTGTGCAAGTAATGGAGACGAGGAAGAGGGTGTTGGGAGAGGAGCATCCCTCCACGCTGACCAGCATAGCCAACTTGGCTTCGACATTTTGGAATCAGGGACGCTGGAAAGAAGCTGGAGACCTGTTTGTGCAAGTGATGGAGAAGAGGAAGAGGGTGTTGGGAAAGGAGCATCCCTCCACGCTGACCAGCATAGCCAACTTGGCTTCGACATACCGGAATCAGGGACGCTGGAAAGAAGCTGAAGACCTGTTTGTGCAAGTAATGGAGACGAGGAAGAGGGTGTTGGGAGAGGAGCATCCCTCCACGCTGACCAGCATAGCCAACTTGGCTTCGACATACCGGAATCAGGGACGCTGGAAAGAAGCTGAAGACCTGTTTGTGCAAGTGATGGAGGCGAGTAAGGGGGTGTTGGGAGAGGAGCATCCAGACACGCTGACCAGCATAGCCAACTTGGCTTCGACATACCGGAATCAGGGACGCTGGAAAGAAGCTGAAGACCTGGAGGTGCAAGTGATGGAGACGAGTAAGAGGGTATTGGGAGAGGAGCATCCCTCCACGCTGACCAGCATAGCCAACTTGGCTTCGACATACCGGAATCAGGGACGCTGGAAAGAAGCTGAAGACCTGTTTGTGCAAGTAATGGAGACGAGGAAGAGGGTGTTGGGAGAGGAGCATCCCTCCACGCTGACCAGCATAGCCAACTTGGCTTCGACATACCGGAATCAGGGACGCTGGAAAGAAGCTGAAGACCTGGAGGTGCAAGTGATGGAGACGAGGAAGAGGGTGTTGGGAGAGGAGCATCCAGACACGCTGACCAGCATAGCCAACTTGGCTTCGACATACCGGAATCAGGGACGCTGGAAAGAAGCTGAAGACCTGTTTGTGCAAGTAATGGAGACGAGGAAGAGGGTGTTGGGAGAGGAGCATCCCTCCACGCTGACCAGCATAGCCAACTTGGCTTCGACATACCGGAATCAGGGACGCTGGAAAGAAGCTGAAGACCTGTTTGTGCAAGTAATGGAGACGAGGAAGAGGGTGTTGGGAGAGGAGCATCCCTCCACGCTGACCAGCATAGCCAACTTGGCTTCGACATACCGGAATCAGGGACGCTGGAAAGAGGCCCACAAGCTAATGGAGGAATGCGTAATGTTACGGACCAGAACCATAGGTACTAATCACCCTGACACTTTGTCTTCTCGTACAGCATTACTTGTATTGGAGACAGAGCAGTTATATTAGTGCATTTCTTGACAAAGACCTAGATGTGGAGTAAAGTCTCTCTACTCGTACGGCGTAACACTGGGATTTCTTGATTTTCCAACTGGTGTCCTCAAAATTTGGAACTATTAATTCTCTATAGAACCTTTCTCTGAAATTTTAAGAAACCCCGACAGTCGCAATTAAGCAGGACGGAATAGTTAGAATGGCCATCGGCAGCATCAACGAAACGATTAATAGCATGATCAACTACAGTCTTTTTCATATTTCCCACCTTTTTTGTTTTTTTGTGTGGCTTCCTACAGCTTGATTACGGGCAGAAGTAAAAGTGGAGCAGGGATTTCCTCCTTGAGCAAGAGCATGTTAGAAGAGCATCTTCGGGGTGGAATCGTGTATGGTAGGCTGCGAAGTCTCCGTGTTAAGAGGTTCCACTACCCCACCCACCTACAACCAACCTCAGGGAGGGTTGGGACTTTCAATTAGTCAAGACCTTTAATTTACCACAATTGTGATGGCTTAACAAAGCGACATTCCAAAAACACCCAATTGAATAGATTCTCAAGTGATTATGACTGGCCACTCTTTGCAATATCTAGTGTACGGCGTAACTTCCCTTCTTCCTTCCATCCAGTATCGGTTCCTCTCTATATCCGCGATGCTGAGTTACCCGATGAAAAGACCGTTCCATCGTTGGACTTGCGCAAGGATGTACTGGCGGTTGTCCCGCGATTCCAAGATCTCAGTATCAACCTGCACCTCAAATACAAGCCCTCGTTTTCCGTATGTACTCTCAATAGCCTCGCTCTCCATCTTGTACTCGTGGTATCGCTTTTCAAACATCGCGTTATCGTCTTTGCCTCGTTTGCGATCCAGAGATCGCTTCCTTGCAACCTCTTTGTCACATCGAAAGAGTAGGACTAGTCGTGGTACTGCAAGCTACTCAATGCATTAGCACACCGCAAGACTAATGTATGTATGGCTTTACCTCAGCTTCGAATGCCTCTCCTTGTGCCTTGCTACGAGGGAATCCATCTATGAGCATTACCCTTCTCTCCGGATCTTTCAAGTCTGCTTCAGACAGCTTATCCTTTAGGATAGGTAGCAGTTCTTCTGGATTGATAAGTTCTTGTTTCTCTAGCTTTTGATTGATGGACGGGTGGTTGTTGTTTACTACAACTTTTCGCAGGACGTCGCCAACTGACATGTGTTGCACAGCGTATTTTCCTATCAAGCGGCTACAGAGAGTACCCTTCCCCGCTGCTGGAGGCCCTATTTTGCAGTGAGTCCAAAAAGCACGGGAATTAATGATAGGGGGGGGAGATATATTGTACGTACCAAGCACAAAGATGAATAAGAGGTTTGAGGACATGTTGATTCTGCAGCACTTTTGACGGTAAATGAGGTGCGCAAGGTTGTGGTAAGTTGTTCAAATTAGATAGGTTCGTCGTAAATTGTTTTGTAGGTGACTCTCAATCATATCTTCTTGTAGAACTCAAAGGTGAATACTGAGAATGACTGTTTTTTAAAGGTGAATACGAAAAATCACTGTTCTTGGCTAAAGACACATCAATATACACTTGTCAGAGTTAATAACAGCTTCTTTCTCTCACACACACATACGAACACATACACACACACATACACAAACATACAGCATGCATCATCTGTTTATCGCCAAAGGTATGTACTGACACTAAACAAATGTATCATACATCACGTCTGGAAATCCACCAATCTGTGTTGTTGATATGGTGGTTGTGGTCGTACATTCACTGATATTTTACATATAGCAAGCTTCCTTGGTATTTCTAAGAACATTGCGTGCATATGGTTCTGTTTGCCAACCAACATGTCAATGTCTTCAGTCTTCCCAAGCGCTCCTCTTCTCTCAACGACCAGTCTCTTGGGGGCCATCTGCCTCTTCAGTACCACTGCATACATTCTCTATCACCTCTATCGCCTTCATGAGATTCGTACGACAACAGCACCCACCTCGGTGAATTACCACTTCTCTCGCAAGTGTAACTATACCTGCGGCTTCTGTTTCCACACGGAAAAAACGTCCTCTAAGTTATCTCTTGAAGACGCCCAGCGTGGTATGAGGCTGCTCAAGGAAGCGGGAATGAAAAAGCTTAACTTTGCCGGTGGCGAGCCTTTCCTGTACACCAAATTCCTAGGCGATCTTCTGCGTTACGGAAAAGTCGACTTACAGATAGAAAGCATCAGTATCGTATCAAACGGCTCCAAGATCACGGAGAAGTTCTTGCGCACGCATGCAGCCTTCATTGACATCCTCGCTATCTCCTGCGATTCGTTCGACCCCCACACCAACATCAAGATTGGGAGAGGCAAACATGGGAACAACATCGAGACCCTAAAGAAAATTGCCGGCTGGTGTCAAGCATTCGGCATCGAGTTTAAGATTAATACTGTTGTCTGTAGCCTCAATTGGAACGAAGACCTAACTCGTCTAATCACGCAATTGCAGCCATTCCGGTGGAAGGTGTTCCAGTGCTTGATCGTTACCGGCGAGAATGACAACGAGGAGCGAAAGCGCGATGCCCGTTTGTTTCTCGTAAGTCAGCAGCAATGGCAAACATTCTGCGATCGCCACAAGCATCTAGAATGTTTCGTTCCTGAGAGTAATGATATGATGACAGGGAGCTACTTGGTCTTGGACGAGAATATGAGCTTCCTGGACAAAGGCGATGGAGAGGAGAGAGCAAGTGAAAGTATTCTAGATGTTGGGGTGAGGACAGCCATGATTCAAGTACGGTGGGAGCGCACTACATTTCTCACGAGAGGCGGGGTTTATGATTGGACCAAGGCACGTTCGAGCGAGGGATGCGGCACACAGGAGAACAAGGAATTGGAGTGGTGATCGTTCTTTGATTCATTCATGCTCATAGCTAAGAAGCGGAGTGTACGATAATACATTGGAAATTTGCGATCCTCTCACCTGAGCATTTCTCCACTTTGCTAGTGGACATTAGCACGGTGCTGTAGACTATAGGCTGTAGTAAGTACAGCAGCGGCCATCGTTCATCGGATCAAATATTTCCCCTCCACCCTCCAAATCCTCTCAGATCTCCTCACGTACATTAAGTCCCAACATGTTGCCTCAAGGTTCTGCCCAATTTTGCCAGTATGTGCATCAAGAAATTTGTGACCTTTCTTCTCCGGCTTAGGGTCTGAAAGTAAACTGTCAACTTTCCCGCTCCACACCTTGGAAAAGCCTGAGGGTGTGCACGCATTACAGCTTCGACCTTTTCTTTGCCAATTCTTTCCAGGTGATTTCCCCTCTGTGCACCGAATAAAGGTGCCGTCCATTCGACCTCGCCAACGATGTGCTTGAAATGGGGATTGCTGGGTGAGGGTGAGTGACTTTCGTCAATGACCACCGAGAGCTTACTTTGAAAAGTTGGAGTTGGAGTTAGAGTCGGAGTAGGAGCCGTCGAGTGATCGGCCAGTGTCCAGGATTGACGGTCCGTGATGAACTCGGCACAGGGCTTGAGTAGCTCTTGAATGGTTTTGCCATCTGTAGAGATCTTCAAGTTGCGTTTGATGACCTCCTTCACAGCATCGGCGCCAAGGATCTCCGTGCAGACCGAGTCGATGTAATTGCCACTCACGGAGATCTTTCCCTCCCACTCTCCATTGCGCCGCCGAAGGTAAACTCCTAGCTGGAACAATTGTCCGTAACGATCGTAGTATATGTCGTGAATTCGTGTTCTTTTCTTGTCGTAGCCGTTGATCGCCAGGTATTGGTAGGAATGGTCGTTGGGGCAAAACTTGCGCTCTACCTCGACCGCGGACGCGAAGGGGCGGGCCGACGCGAAGCAGCAAGCGATAAAAGCAGAGCTCTTGAAGCTCTTGAAGCTCTTAGGGCCGGCCCGTGTCAGCATTTTTGACTGCGAGCACTGTGTTGAGGCGTGGCAGTACCGGTTATCTGAGCTAAACTGTTGTGGAATGGTTAGGTAACGGCCGTCCCTCCGTGGCGAAGACGACCAATGAGATCGCAATTCACATTGCTGTATCACGTGCCTGCGTGAGTTAACGCGCCTTACTCCGCAACGCTGCTTCCCTGCTCCCCCACCTCGTAACCTTACGATTTCAATTTAGTATTTGTCCAAACACGCCTCTCGCATTATCCACATCTCAGAATTATACAGTTCGTGCGCCATATTTTGGAGGCCGTATAGTTGAAGGTTTTCGCAGCATTCGACAAAGGCAACCAGTAAATATTCAGGGAACATGCCTGGTGAGTACAAATCTTTCGATTTTTAGATCGAGCTAATCCTTTACTACAGAGCCTGCGACTCGTCAGTCGCGGCCTGCACGAAAGGTTCGAGCACCTGCCCCAGATATCATCGATCTCGAATCCTCCAGCCCCTCCCGTCATAAATCCTCTACTATGCACACCCCCTCCGTACCTGCGAATGACGGCGCTGGCCACGAACAAGATGACGACGACACTTTGCCCCTCATGTCCTCTCGACCTCGAAACAATCGCCGACACGTTATCGATTCTGATTCCAACGAAGAACGACAACACGACGATCAGCAGCCGAGCAAACGAGCCCGCACCGACATGCAGGAAGCTAGAGAGGCTACGCTTGGTGGTACCTCTACTCCAGTTGATGGTCCTGTTTCTGCTTCGTCTCCTCCAGTTCCGTCGCACAATATTCAGGAGAAGTGGAATAATGATGGTCATGAAGCTACATTCACGACCCCCACTGGTGGGCTCCCTCCCAAGGCAACCTCGACTAGTCGCACGAACAACAAAATCACCAAGCAGACTCCCAGTACGATCAATCCATTTAAGCCGAAGATTGCGACACCTACTCCGCGACCATCTCAACGCCTCTCGGCTCCTCACTCTCGTGGTCAACCGCGGACGGTCTCTGGTGCTGGCCTTCAATCCACATACACGCCTCTAAACTCTGGTACATCCCAACGCCATTCGTCTCCTCTCGTCGAGAACCCAGTCTCTCCATCCCCTCCACAACACTATAGTACTTTCCGACGCAGCTCAGTGGACAACTTGGCTCATAATAATCAAAGTTTACATGCTGGCCTTGCACATGACCGTCTAACCTTGCATGGTTCTCCAGAGGGTCTAGGCTTCATGGCAAGTCAGAATGAGATTCCTCGCTCGTCGCAATTTGGTACTCCTCATCGCTCCCCACTTGAGCACCCTCAATTCTCTCGTCCATCTTCCGCTCTTGGTGGTGTAGTGCAATCCATGCGTCATGCTGTCTCACCCCCTCCCGTTCCTGAGTTTGATAGACCATCAGCCTCCAGTGACCAACTCCGTATTGTTTTACAACAACAGGGCACCGAAATTAAGTCCTTGATACAGCAGGTTAGGAAGTTGCAGTACGAGATGAAGCTCCAAAAGGTTCATGTAGAGTACCTCGTCGGTCAATTGCCGCGTCGTGGCTAGATTGTTCGCCTTCTTGCATTGGCTTTTCCTTTCGTCCACGGTCTGGTTTTCAGCCTCGTATTCTTCTTCTTTATTTCGGTCATCTGGACCTTATAGTGTTTGACTATCTTCTCTGGAGTGTGGGGGGCTCATTCCTTGGCGTATCGGTTGGCAGCTGCACTTCTCCCATATACCCATAGGCGCTACAATATTCAATTGATAAATTTTCACCAACTGCTATTAAATGGTTTACATACCTATTGACTGATTTCCATCCTTCGGCACCTTATTTGTGTACTTATTTTTCTGGTCTTTCTCTATATACCAACTCTTCTTCATTTTCTTAAATTAATCCTTTTCGTCTTCCCTTACCACATATCAATTTTCACCTATTTACTCACTACGATTTCCTTCGTCGTCAATTGAGTCCTGTTCTTCGTCGCTTTCGTATTCCCCTTCAATGCTGGGTTGTAGTTCATTTTCGTTGTTTTGTTCACTATGTTCCTCTGAGTATTCTTCGACTGATTCGTCCTCTTCGTCCCTACCACGCGCCATCCTAACACCTTCTTGTTCTTCAGTCATTTCTGCAGCTTTCCATCGGTTACACACTGTCTCTGCCTTATCATACGTATGAGATGACCAATCTCTACGAGAGAGAGAGTTGTATTGCTGCCCATCGACGTACTGGTAAATAAAATGTGTCATTTTTCTTCCTCTCCCTCGCTGAATGTAGTCTGGAATAACATGCGCACTGCGTAGAATATGTCGCTCTTTCAATTTGCGGCTACGTTCCGTTGAACTTGTGTCTCCGGGTATGAGTTGAACCATCCCGTGGACCTGGTGTAGAGTTCCTGGATCTTCTCCGTTGATTCTTTCCAGCGGAATTGGTCCACTAAAACACTAGTGAAGCCATCCAGTTTCCCTTCGTGGTTTGAGCTCTCTGTGTCATACACAGTAAACATGAATTGTTCCTGGATCGCATTGTCTAGCATTGACGAATCGGCTCGGTTTTCAGTGTCAACACTTACGTGGGTCTTGTTTGAAGAGGAGACTGAACCTCCCGATAGTCAGGCAGATCCAGATAGAAATTGCGTGTCCTTCTCTTCGTCGACTTCTCCAAAGGCATTATGCTAACGCTCCCCCACGTTGATTGTGCAGGAACTCTGGCGGAACCGCCCTTGTGCGTGATTTTGATGCGATTATTAGATGTTCCTGGGAAAGGTTGGTTTCTGGGTGTGTTCTCAAATGTGTATGAGTTATTGTCTCGTTGGAAAAGTTAGATGGGTTCAAATTGAGTCCTAGAGATACAGGATTTAGGCGTACGAGGGATCTCAATGCTGTAAGTCGAACTAATACTGCGCATCGTGGGTTTGGCACTATCCGGTAACAGAGGTTCGTCATATGAATCTGGGATCTCGTATCTAACTAAATTCATTTTCAAGTAAGTAAGAATTCGCGAAAAACCACAAAAAGTGAAGAGTTTGTTGGATTTTAAAGCGACGACATAAATAAATCGACATATGAAACAAGTTTGACGGTCTACGCCAGCCCCAATCTTTGACTGGGTGTTTTCATTCCTCGACTGATAAGTACTCATTTTAGATACACGCGACTATCCTGGCCTTGACCCCCCCCTTTTTGGTGAAATAACGCTCAACAATTCTCGGTCGTGCCGTGGTCTCCAAGTCCCTTCCAACAAGGGTAGGTGGCATAGAACTCGAGCATTGCTCTGTCATCATGCAGTCGATTGAATTCCTCGTGCTACTCCATTAACAATTGAGCCACATTCTCTTCTGTAACCACAGACTCAGGCGCTTCAATGTCGACGTAAAATTGGCAGTCCAAGGCCTCTTCCAGCGTTTTCTGCCAAATATCCCCTGGCATGGCCGGCATATAGCGTAAGACGACATGGTTGCGAACGTGTGCCAACCAAACCTGGACTCAGATCTTTAGATTCTGGAGTGAAGGGGTTTCTTCGGTCAGTAATGCCGCCACACCCACGGGCACGTAGAAATCGGCTTGGTCTATCGACGGAAAACGTATTAATAATATGCGATCCACGAGGGGGGAGTCAAAGCGAAATCCGGTTGGAGCAGCTACTGCAAAAGCGTCGGCCTGATCATTGGTGTAAGTGTCAAAAAGATGTTCATCCGGAGCTGTAATCGGTGAGTGATAAACATCGCACCCACTAGCAAAAGAGGTATCTGGTAATGGTCGATACTGTGTTTCCTGCACTGGCTCATGTCTATCGTGATAGCCGCGTCCCTGGCCAAAACCAAGACCAAATGTGCTAACTCCCCCGTATGATTTTACAGGTGAGGGTGTGTAAATTGACACGCTTGATTCATACCCCATCGTGTTTCGCGACTGGTCGAGTACTTTGTGCCAATCTTGGTTTCTGGTATAGCGACCCGTCTGACTGGCTGAGTGCCCCCCTCCAGCCTCTCCACGTCCTGAATCTCCTCTCTGCAATTCGTCTTTATACCGGCTGACTAAAATACTCAAGTATCCGGCGCGGAAGAAAGCAGACAAAAAAGGCCCAGCAACCTCGTAGTATTTGAAGCTGTTCCCGAAACGCTGACCTATCAAATGCTGGGCTAATTCATGCGACATTCGGTGTACCCATTCCTGGTCGCGGGTGTGCTTTTTGTGCGTTTCGTTTGGTGGAATCTTTGCCGCAAGGAATCCTTCACTCAAGTTCGCGACGGTGACAAGAGTTCTGTCAAACAACTTCACGAATATAGGTCCGTAGCTTTTCCAGGAATCGGCCGTCCAAAATGCGGTGTGAGTGTGATCGAAATTAGTGCTCGAATCAGACTGGAACCAACTGGATATCTCACTTGGGAGGGTCATATGGAGAACCTGGAGGTGTGATTCGGGAAGGTCGTCATGTTCATCGGAAGCTTGCTTTGTTTTTCTTAGGTTGTTTCGAAAGCCGCTCGATATCGTATCACTTTGATGGCTATCCATTCTAACTCCTGACATGGTTAATTTTGAGGCAAGGGACTGTAAGGGAATGAATGGGCTTACATTTCAATCTCTGCAGTGTCAAGGTGTGAGTTTCGGTCGAGTCTGAGTATGAATTCTGGACTTTGTTTGGCACAGTGCTGTTCATCGTGATCTACAAATGCTTATCCAAGTGGTGGGGAAAATGATCAGAGATGCCTGGTTGCTATCCTCAGCCCTACGAGACGACTCAACGACTGCGCAGCTCCAACACTGGCACAAGGAATTGGAGCTCTGGGAGATATGCAGGGCGAGAACTGAATTGGAGACGAGACTGGCGGAACTAGAGTCAAGAGGAAACAAGTTGACCCAGTCTTTAGAAGAGGACAAAACTTGCCCGTCATTCCATACCGATGAATTATGGCTCAAGGCGATACCTCAAAATCACACGCTTGCAAGGGCTGAGAATGAAATAGCGGGGGGATTGGTCAATGATAGCGAGAGCACTGACTATGGCTCAATGCCTTAGACTATGAATGGGAGGCTTGCTAAGTCAGAGTTACTTATTAAACCTGGATATTGATAGCTGTTAGCTTTTGTTTGAATGCATTTGACTTTTAAAAAGTGGTTAAGTTATTCGAACGATATTCCCGAGAATTAGGAGAAAAGTGATGTAAAGAGCACAGAAAAATAGTTGAAGAAGGGCTCAATATGTCGTGCAACGTCAGTTTTTAATAGTATTCCTTGTTAGCTGATTTCGTGAAATAATATTTTAAGTTTTGAAAGCGATCTTCAAATAAATGGCGGAATGTATTATAAGATGTACAATTCTGCTCCGCTGTAATACAGGACGAGATACGCAGATCCTCTTCTCAGCTCATCAGCCACAGCCTTAATTACAAAAGATAAATACGCTGAGTTACCGCAACCGTGACCAGGGACCCTTGTTCGCTTGATTGGAGACATCAACCTATGTGGCGACATCGCATAACATCATGAAAAAACACGATATAGTTGCTCAACGCAACACCATTCTGTCCCAGAAATGACAGTGTTTAAAGCTCTCTCAAAAAATCTTTCGAAGCAGGTGTCTCAAGACAACATTACCGCCTTCTTGGTCAAACGTGTTGCGAAATATCTTGCCGGTCTCTTTGGTGTAGGCTCGCAGCCCTGCTACATCGCAGAAGGTCTCAACTTTTTCCTCACTGCCGCTTCGTCCATAATCAATTAAATCAACGATATTGACGTGTGTCCTTCGTACAGCCTATGATCTGGGTCAGCATAAGCCTACCAAACCTCATTGGATGGTCTCCTACCTCCTCGCATTGGTCACACGTTGTGGGAAGCGGTTCAACACCTATTGCGCGACAAAGCGCATGCCACGCGGTCAAATCGTTCTCTGCACCATACCACATGTGCAATTCGCTTTGCAGCGCATCTTGGTACCTATTCCAAGCATCAGTTGACGCGTCACTGCCACGGTACAAGCCTTTATGTCTCCGCAAATTGGCATACGAAGTTGCTGGTGGGAGAGAAGGGTTATAATCAAACGTTGGGAAAGAGTGGAAAAAGACATCCAAAGGCGTCTCTGTATTCTGTTGGTGAATCGGAGAGTCTCGCAGGTGCTGTTGCAGCGCCTCTTCGCTATTGAAAGATCGATCACAGTCATCACAACTGAAGGACGGGGCGTGTGCCAGTGAATCTCGCAGGTGTTGTTGCAACGCCTCTTCGCTATTGAAAGATCGATCACAGTCATCACAACTGAAGGACGGGGCGTGTGCCAGTGAATCTCGCAGGTGTTGTCGCAGCGCCTCTTCGCTATTGAAAGATCGATCACAGGGAACACAACGAGTACCCATAGTGTCAACAGTTTTCATAGCAGTATGATACAATTATCCAGAAAAGAGGTAATGTGAATTAGAAGCGGCGAGTCAACAGTCTTATTATGACGTGACTGAGCAAACGCAGTATCGGCGTGGGAGCTATGTTGTGTAACCACTGTTGTCTAAATGTCCCAGTGATACGCAGGCTGTTTATTTCCGTTGGTTGAAGCACGGAGAGACTAAACAACTATGATACAGATCGTTGACAACACAATGAGCTACGGGGAGCTCTACTTCTGTAGAAAGGAACTGCAAATTTATTTGCCATTTGCGAACACAGCACACAAAGTTACCTCCTAGCACAAAGACGTGCAAGGCGTAGGGAAGAGAAACTCCCGACTCATGGGAATGACTCATATTCATCTGAATTGCTTATTCCAATCAGGTTATATTCCTAAAACACGTCAATCAGTATATGTTTGGGAACGGAGATGATAAGGGCGGAACGGGATTTCGTTTGCTATTTGTTTGCTAATCTGGTTTGATCGGGAGTAGGCAGATATGGAAACGAAGCATACAGGCCAGGAAATGAGGTATATACTATGCTGGCATAAAACAATTTTTATGCCGCCCTGATCTTCTATGGAACAAGTCTCAATCACTTTTCATGGCGTGGATTCTCTTGAATTCTAACATTTAGATTCCTTGACCGATCACCCTGCAATTTCACGACATCTTCCAATATGGTTATCCCACTGAGTGTCAGACCGCCGTTGCATGCAATCACGTACATGATTCATCATACCTTCCTCCCCCCCAACGTTCCCCAAGAGGATGACTTCGATCCCCGGAACGAGGAAACCTTGTTATGCACTCTCAGCGACGCCCTTCAGCAGTTTAAGGCTGCTGCGGGGAGTAGCGAGCAGGGTGTTCTTGAATCTATCAGTACTATGATCAGCAATCTCAGGTCTGTCCGAGAGGACTCGGGAGCTATCAGCGAGGCAAATCTCGAAAGAGCTCTGCAAAAGCTCTCGGAGAAAGGTATGCGCCCTCATCACTCGGTAAGCATGCCGCTAACAAACTCAAGGTGGAGTGATGCCACTGTATATTAGAGCCCAAAATGCCGGTGTCATTATCAGCAAGGTCAGCGATGGTATTTGCTTTGAGATCTTTGAGCTCTCCCCCGACAACGAGTCGGTCATCACGACAAAGGGACGCCTCCGGCGCTCCTTCCCTGCCTCTGCCTGCGTTGTGAACCAGGTCATATTCAATGAGGATGGGTTTCAAGCCACGTTGGCACAGACAATTGCGAAGATGAGCCATCAGGCTGCACCGGATATGCAGCCAAAAGTGAGAAAAGCTCGTCAACAGCACAACGAGAACCGCGATGCAACCCATCCAAGGCTGGTCACGGAACATCTCATGAGTTTCTTGATGGCTTCTGGCACACCTACCAATGTCTCTACGATATGGAAGAACACCCGAGAAGAGGTCATGTGGAAGGATAGCTTCCTACCTTGGCGACGATCACCAATGTGGCTACTTATCCGTGTGGCAATGCAGTTGCAGTTTTCCCGCCAGGGATCAAACGATCTGTACAAGGCATTTATGGTATTCTTCTTGGCCCATGTCTTGAGATTGTCCCACGAAAATAACCTCCGCAGCGACGTTCTCTGCGCTATGAATGCAAAGCTTTCCAGGCGCTTGTTTAAGCTTGGTGTGGAACAAGCCAAACCTTGGATCCATATGCTAGAGCCCGTCATGTCGGAAACGCATAGTCTTGTCAACAGAAGATGGCAAAACATCAGGAAAAAGGCTTCTCCGGATTTGGATCTGCGGCGCCTAATGTCTATTGAGCCGAAGAACGATACCGCTACTCATCTCCCCAAACTAGATAGATTCATCGCTACCATGAGCCAAAGGAAAGGAAGTACAAGCTCCCACGGATTTGAGCCGTCCTCCAAGTTGCCCAGCTACCCACCTGACGACCTCTCCTACGGTTTGGATGCTTGTTCCGTCGACTATCTCACGTTTAACTTGGCAGCATTTGAAAGCTGGGTTGAGTGCAATCTTCCCAACTGGCTTGATCACCATGTCCGTGATGTGATGACCTGTGGGCATCTGAAGAGTTTGATTGAGAGCTATCACCAGTCTGCCACTTCTCAATACGCCGGAAATCCTGAAGGTTCTTCGGTCATGCTCCTGACCATCATGGAACTATGGGTTGCTTGTGACAAGTCTGCATGCGCACTTTACGATTTGCTACCAGATTTTGATCCGGAAATCCCTGTTGAGCTCCTCCAGTCACTTGTTTTACCATTCAAAGGTCAAATGAGCAGGCTCTCTAAAATTGAGGGATATATCCAGACTCGCCAGCGCGGTGCCAAGTCAGGCAGCCCATCACTCCTCTATAGCTTTGGGGATCTGTCCGCCTTCTCTGTGAGGTACTTTGATCAATCTCTAGATCACCAGGCTTTACTCTCTCGAATTGAGACGCAAGCGTCTCGTGAGAGGGAAGAGAAGTGTATGGAACTCTGTAAGAAGAAAGAGGAATATCGGACTTTGATGCAGTATTACGACCAAAGTACCTGTGTGTTCTATGAAGTCGTAACAGATTCATTTCATGGTTTTTGCGAAAGTCGCCATCGCAATCCTTGCTCGAAGTGCCAGTCCAAAGAACAAGCCGCCGCAATCAACATTGATGCTCATGAATGGCCCCTGCCCTCTAATCGACAGGAGGCTAAGTCTGTGGTGTTTGAGTTGATGGTACCTGCTGCTTTTGGCCAATGGCGGGATGCAACAACTTTCCTTCTCAACGACATCCTTGGATGCAATTATTCTGCCCAGGATCACCCATGGGCAAGACATACCCCCCAGAATTACAAGGGTCTCTCATCTTTCTTTGTATGTAGCAGTCCTAGCGCACTGCGTGTTGGTCTTCTGTCCCAGGTTAAACCCCACACAAACACTCACCGTCGAAACAAAACTATCGCTGTGACCGTGGAAGAAGATGTCTGCCTTCATAATGGATTGCAGTATCAGTATTACGATAGCGACAGAGATACTTTCACCAGTCCCTTTCGTGCTACGGATACAGTCTTGAACCTCTGCACCTATAAGCTTCCGCAGCGTTCCCTCTTGCTGCAAGAATTTCTTGCTCGGCCGCCATCTATGCCAAGCGGACTATCACCCAACACCGTTATCGCACAGCAATCTGATTGCCCAGTTCACTTGTCCCTGGACGAGTTCAAAGCTTTATGCTCCCTCCCACTCGGCTATCGGATTCAATGGATGAATATTCTGGTTCAGCTTTCGACCCCTTCGATTGACTTTACCAAGGTCGAGACCAGCATCTTTCTGCTTCAGGTTATCTACCAAGCAGGTCCGCCAAACGGAGGAAGCAGCCACAGAGCTAGCCACGACGATTTGGCTAACGAATCATTCGGGCATGCCATTCTTTTTCAGCTTCGCAATGCTCTACAGAGAGTCGAAAAGAACTGGGAGTCTTCGCTGGCACTTCAAAGCTTTGTCCATTTAGCAGCACGCTTACTCTCCTTTTCATCTTCGGCGGAGATCCAAGACAAGTGCCTAAAGTACCTGGCAAGTGCTCGACGAATCGCATTCGGCTGGGTAACATTACTCGAGGACAAAGCGATACATTCGATAGATGACGATCAAAGAACAGAATTCTTGCTGCAAACAATCAACGTCGCACTGGTCTGTGCAAGCACCTTTGACGTTGAGCAAAGGCACTTGCGTGACATCCTGTCCTCTTCATCCGAAGCCTCGGTTCTCATCCAATGCTCTATCACCATCCAGGAGAACTTGCGGTCTACGCTGGATAAGCCTGCCCTATTGATCGTGCTTGAGCGATGGAGGAAGCTGTCGTATCGTGCGTTACCAATGCTCGTAAGCGAGATATTGGAAAAGGGCAGTACCTGTCTAGATGACGCAGTGAGAAGCTCCTGGTCTGATTACCAACATGGAAGTTCATGGGTACTTGTTGATGTTCCACACCACCATTGGCTCTCGAGCACCACCGCAGCACGTAGCGATTCTGGTCCACTCTCGGTCCACTTTAACCTTTTGACAGCTGAACTCCTAGTAAATGGTCGTCCTCTGGCGCGCTTACCAATCAAGTATGAGAGCCATGCAATATATGGTTCCCTTTTTGGTCACTCGGCTCTCGAAGTTATGCCGAGTCTTGTCCCCGGCATGGAATTTTCTACGAAAGCAGTATATGCCGGCTTCACTATCCACCTCGGCATGCAAGCTACCATCGACAGTCTTGGATCACCAGATACAGATCTACTTCTTCATGCCGTAAGAGGTGACCGCAAGTACGATCTCCTGCCCTCAAGAGTCTTTCGCGGCAAACTGCCTGTCTCATTCATTGATGACTTCACTCATTGGTATGATCATGTTAGCAACTCAATTGAATTTCGCCCAATCGAAAACCCGTGGTCCTCGTCTCCCGCGAACTGGTGGCTGACCAAGGTTGCTTCTTCTTGGCGTCTTGCGAGGAATGGGGTCGTCTTGATCAGCGTCTCAAGTAACAGTGCTCAAACTCTGTTAGGCATTCTTTCTGCTCTAGAAGAGCCCCTGCAGATCCATTTGTTCTTCCACGGGGCGTCCGAGTCGCTTGATATCGAAGTACCTAGATTGCGACTTTCCTTCGACCTGCAGCCGGGATCTACACTCCTTCGTTCGCGGCAGTTTTCTGACATGTTCATCGACACCCATCAGGATATCGGTACTCTAGTCGGCCTTCAGAATAAACTTGTATTGAAACACGAGAAACCGGGTCACGACCGCATAGTGATCATACCTGAGGGCCGAGTAACATACCAGCGGACCCTGGATCATGTAATGGTCAATATCGACCAGAACACCGCCGTCAAAGCCCAGGCTTATTACATTGACAAACGCCTCGGCCGAATAGTGGACAGTGGAGATTTGCAGAGCAAGTTGTTCCTCGGCTACCTTAATGGCCTCACATCCTACTGCCTACCCGACCCGCTCACTCAGCGAACCGGAACCGAGCAGGCGCTTTGGATGCTGAGCTCCGCCGCAGTTAGATCATTCGACGTTCTGACTAGAGGAAATCTCGCGATCTTGGAGCACCTTGCCAGACTGGCACCAGGAAGAGCCTACTATCCTGCGAACGAGCGCGTGATGCATGCTGTCACTTGGGATTCTGAACTCAGTTTCCTATCTCAGCATGGCAGCTTCTTCACCTCTGTTGAAGCCATTTTCGAGCAAGCAAACGTTGCGAAGATTTTCCATCCCGAGACGCACATCGAAGTACCAAATCTAGACTTCACAACTCAGCACCTGCTCCAGCGGGATTTAATCAGATCTTCAACCTTTCGTGTCTCTGATTTCGGGGCAGAGCAATACACAATCGAGCAGGATGCAACGTATTCCCCCAGAGACCGAGGTCAATGCTCCAAAAGAGCTTCTCGCGCTTTCGTGATAGCCAGCTTGCTCTTCCAAAATCGAGCAGTTCTGCATACAACGTTCTACCATGGACTCAGGGATTCTCTCTGGAAGAGTCTTAATGACTGCGGTACCATAGACGGGCCAAAGTTGACGTTGGAGAGTACCTTACTAAAGTTCGACTCCAAGTGGCTCAAGCAGCCTCTAGGCGCGTGGTGGTGCCGAGCCCACCTCTCGCTTAGCCATTCACGTCACCAGTATAACAGATTTCTAGTCATGATGTGGCTCTCGACTGCAGCATATAGTGAAAGTGCTGACATGTCGGTCATCTATACCATAGCAGCATTTTACAATGTGGCCAATGTTGCACAGATCACTCCACCGCCAATCAATCAATTCCAACTACACCGCGGTGCTAGAGCCGATCTTTCCGAGCTAAAGAAAGTCATCCAGTCTGCACGTCGTCCGTTTACGAGCTGTGCTGACGCACGTCTCCCCAAATTGGAGGGAGAAAGCCAACACGATGCTCAACAGCGGAGAAAGCGCTTATTCCAGGGACATCAAGATAGAGCAATTAATCATCTTGCCACAGAGCTCGAACGGCAATGGCCCTGCGAAGCACCGCAGACCCCACCTGTCCTCGATACATATCTCAATACAAGCCAGGCTATGACAGGAGCTAACTTGAAGTTCAAGACGTGGTTCGAAAACTATCGCTTCTTCGAGTACCTAGGGCACATCGAGGATGCGCTACAGCGTCAAGTGGTTGAGCCTATACCCATGCATTCTCACGTCTTGCCTGTGCCTGAATCAAATACGCAACGCAAAGCACGTCATATTAGCAGCGCGGAACTCTTTAATACTCCCCCTCCCTCAATTTTCTCCAAAGCTCCGGCAGGTCTCGAGGGCTTGGTGCGGAACGAGTCTGGAGAGGCAGAACACCCTCTTCGACTCGGTGCTCTTCTGGATCGCCTTGATGCCCAAGTCCGTACAAAGTGCGAGGAGTACTATGGAAAGAGGCTTCGTAGTAGTCTCCTCTCACTTAAAGGCCGCGCAAAGAAGCCCATCCTAGACCCGCAAGGCAAAGATATCATGCAAGTCCTCGACCAATATCTGGATGATTGCAATCAGCATGTTCAACAGCTGTACTCCAGTATGGTAGAAGCCATTACCGGTGAAAGTCACACTGCTCGCGGACTTGCGGCAACAATACACCAGTGGCCCAGGGTATCTCCATCTCTGTTCCTTCAGGAATTGACTTATGCCCGCTGGGATAAATTAGCAACCCCTTGGAAAGAATGCCTCATCAAGTATGGACTTGCTCTCACAGAAGTTCAGCGCGCAGAAAGGCTAGTCAATCTCGCTAGCGATCCGGTCGGGCTGGTTCATGAATTACTCAATACTGGCCATCGAAATTGGAATCCATTCGAATTTCCAGAGTCCTTGCTCCTTGAGGTTGAGAGCGGAATCATGATACGGGAGGTTCAAGAGGACATTGCACATCAAATGAGGAGTCCTCCATCGGATCAAAACGCCGTTATGCAGCTCAACATGGGTGAAGGGAAGTCGACCGTGGCTCTTCCGATCGTGGCACTTAAGCTAGCGGATGGCAAACAGCTAGTTCGGGTCTTCGTGGCAAAGCCACAATCGAAGCAGATGTTTGAGATACTGGTCGCAAAGCTCGGAAGCCTACTAGGTCGGCGCATCTATCATATGCCTTTCTCTCGTGCCCTTAGACTAGACCAGTCACAAGCGGATGCAATCGGTAGCATGTGCAGAGACTGCATGGCGAATAGAGGTATCCTTCTTCTCCAGCCTGAGCATATCCTCTCATTTAAGTTAATGGGTATCGAGTGCCTCGAGACCGGTCACGAATCTGTGGGACAATCTCTACTCACTTCTCAACACTTCTTTGATACCCGCTCCCGGGATATTATTGATGAGAGCGATGAAAATTTCAGTGTGAAGTTCGAGCTCATTTACACCATGGGCACACAGAGGCCCATCGAACTAAGCCCAGAACGATGGGAAATTATCCAGTCAGTGCTTGGGCTGATTGCTCGTTTCGTCCGAGAAGTAAAACGTGACTTGCCGCTCTCCATTGAGGTCGATGATCGGTGGCTGGGAAGGTTTCCCAAAACCAGGATTCTACGGGATGACGCCTATCAACCGATTCTGGAGAAGGTTGCAGACCATATTTGCAAGGTCGGGCTATTTGGATTGCCAGTATCTCGCCAGCCAGTGGACATCCAACAAAAGGTTTTCAAGTACATCACCAAGTCGGACTTGACAGCGGAAGAAGCCGCTGTGTTCGAGAGCAAGAGCAGTGCGAGCTTCTGGACCGACTCGAGAAGGAGCCATCTACTTCTCGTCCGAGGACTCATCGCTGGAGGAGTCTTGTCCTTTGCTCTTGCTTGTAAACGATGGAGAGTCGACTACGGGCCTGATCCCCACAGGCTACCAAAGACCAAGCTTGCGGTACCATTTCGGGCCAAGGATAGCCCCACACCACGTTCCGAATTCAGCCATCCCGACATCGTGATTGTTTTGACAGCGCTCAGCTACTATTATGGCGGACTGGATGATGACGATCTCTTTGCCTCCTTTGGCCACCTTCTCAAGTCCGACCAAGCGCAGCTTGAGTATGGAGAATGGGTGTACACAGCCTCGGAAATCCCAGATTCTTTCCGTCAGTTGTCTGGGGTCAATGTTAAAGATCGCTTCCAGTGCGTGGAGCAGCTGTTTCCCAGCCTTCGATATTCTAAGGGTGCGATTGACTACTTTCTTTCGCACCTCATCTTTCCGAAAGAAATGAAAGAGTTCCCTCACAAGATCTCGGCTTCGGGTTGGGATATTGGCCAGATAAAAACCTACCCCACGACTGGTTTCAGCGGCACTAATGACTCTCGCCATCTTCTCCCACTCAGCGTCCAACAGCTTGATCTCCCAGAACAAGAGCATACAAACGCCTTGGTCTTGGAGTACCTTCTCGGTGACGAAAATTCCGTGGAACTCTTACCCCAGCGAGATGGATCGACAGAGTCAGATGCGGAGTTTTTGTTGGCGACAGTTAGTAAGATGGTTCCGGCAGTGCGAGTAATCCTAGATGTCGGAGCTCAAATCCTCGAGCTCGATAACTTACAAGTTGCCAAAACTTGGCTGGATATGCGGACGTTTAATGACCAAACCAAGGCTGTTATTTTCTTCAGCCAAAACGACGAGCTCTTAGTTTTGGACCGCAAAGGACAGATTGAGCCGCTGCAGACATCACCCTTCGCCAAGCAACTTGATGCCTGTCTTGTCTTTTTAGATCAGGCACACACGAGAGGAACGGACTTGAAGCTTCCTACTGATTATCGTGCAGCCGTTACCTTAGGAGCAAATCTGACGAAAGATAGACTGGTGCAAGGTAAGAGCTACTTAGTATCGTGATTCCCAGTGCTGACATAATATTAGCTTGCATGAGAATGAGAAAGCTCGGGAAAGGTCAATCAGTGGTCTTCTGTGTCCCCGAGGAGATCAAAAGGAAGATATCGGAACGTACCTTGACCCAAAACGACATTATCACAGTGGCAGATGTGCTTATCTGGACGATTTGTGAAACTTGTGTCGAACTTAGACGGAGCCTTGCCCAGTGGGCAACGCAGGGTCTTCGATTCGAAAACCAGAAAGGTCTCTGGGCTAGCGCCCGGAGTGAAAATGGGTTCGACTTTTCACGATCTCAGGTGAAGGAGTTTTTGGAAGAGGAAGCCCAGACGCTGAATCATCGTTATGGTCCGCGTGCTGCCGCTGAAACGCCCTCACGCTCTGTTTGGGATGAAAAGAACCAGAACATCGGTCGTATTATCGAACGTTGTCAAGAATTCGAGAGCCTCCACTTTGACTCGGCCACCCTTCAAGAGGAACAAGAACGCGAGCTATCACCCGAGATTGAACAGGAACGCCAGGTCGAGAGGCCTGCGCCAGCAGTCCCTGAGAGGCACTGCATTCACAACGACTTAAAATTCCTTATTATGACCGGAGAATTCAAGGCGCACTCTCCTGCCTTCCTTCCCGCCTTCGAAGCACTCCGCTCTTCAAGCGCAGCCACCCACCTTGATGTGTCTCAGTTCCCGCGTGACCTTTACGTCACGGCTGATTTTGCGCGTACAATCAAGACGTCGGGGAGTAATTACGTCTCTGATGCCTACCAGCGACCCGTCCAGTGGATTCTCACTTGTACAGGGCCAAGTACAGTCAGTCATCTAGTCGTCATTAGCCCATTTGAAGTACAAGAGTTGTTGGACCTTATCAGAGAGTATCGCAGAGTCACTCTCCACTTATACGCGCCACGCTCTAACCTGGAATTCCGGCCCTTGGATGCGCTAGACCTGTTTACGGTGGGAAAAGAATACGGTTGTCTTAGCATCCCTCGACACCTGATCGTGCAGTTGAACCTTTTTGCTGGCCAGCTATACCTGAGCTCGTTCAAAGAGTACATTGAAGTATGCGATTTCCTCGGCTTAGCATGGAGGGCCACAGAACAGGGTTTGTCAGTAAGAGGGGTGGGTGGGTTTACAGTACAGGCTTGTGGGAATGTAGGGTTCCATGACGGCCTAGTAATGTTCTTCAAGGTTCTGATGATGAAGATCCGGCGGAACTGCGAGAGCATTGAAAAAACCCACCTAGGAAAGATATTACATGGGGCTATGTTGGAGGAGAGAGACTTTGCCAACCAGAGAATCATTGATCAGTGATTGGTTGGAGTATGGACTCCTTGTTAGTTAATAAACTTTGTCTAGTGAACTCTGTTAAGATATATAGTGGCAATGAAAACATTTCTTATCGCACTGATAAACTTGGTAGAGCTGAATGAGAAATAGAAAACAATCAACAGATTGAAGGTTTTCACAAGTTCTAATTCCCTAGCTCATTAAATTTCAGAAAAATTCACCACATACTAAAAAGTAGAGAAACAAGCATTGAGTTGTTGACTTGTTAACTGGTTGAGAAGTCGACCTGCCTAAAGGATATGGGGCTAGTTCGACCAAATACCTCGATAACGGATGTGTCGGTTGGCATCTCTATGCGTGCCTAGAGAACAAAGTTCCCTATTGAAATTTATCTCCACAGTGGATATTTTTCATGAAATATACTGTAAGGATATACTAAACCAAGTCGTAATCACCTCACGCTCATTTGTCACCTACATGATGATCATTGTAGTAGCTCGCTTAATATTGACCTTTTAAAATGATCATCTTCTGCCCTCCAGATATGACGTGTATCCACTTAAAAAGATCTTCTGTTGATCAACATATTCTCTAAGTTCACAACTAGGTACATAACTCCAAGAAACGGCCAGGTTGAAGATCAGGAAAAGTGGGGTGATCAGGATAATAAAAATAAGTGGGGTGATCAAAAGGGCTAAATTCACCATGGCCGCTAACAGAGGTCATCGCTCAACTGGAAATTCGCATAATCGGGGTGCCAGAAGCTCCTAAGTAGGACTCACTCAAATGAACAGACAGTGCTGGCGAATTGTGAGCACAAGAAAAGTATGAAACAGCAAATATTCAGTATAGTAAACATTTAGTACAAGATTCAAATGCTAATGCACCCCCCCACAATCCTTCTCCTAGCTCGCTGCCCCCCGTTTGCGACAAATCAGACACGTCCTGGGCTGGGAATGTGGCCCCTGAAGTGGCTGTCTTGGGGGAGTGGGGGGGAGGGCTGTCAGAGTGCAAACTTCGCAAGGCGTAATGATGTTCGTGATCATCTCGGAGGGACCAATAAAGAGATGTTCATGTTTCTTTGTTCAAGGGTGAGATAATTTAGAGTGAAAGAGATGCTTCTGTTATGGTGATTAATCATTTATTTGAAAATATTCTTTTTCCCGAAAACTTGTTCTCCTTCTATTGCGTTTTATTTCGTTGTTATTTCCTTAACTTATTTGCATGACGGATAAGATTTGAGATAATTCTTGTCCTTGATAACAGGAACTGCGCCTGTGGTACTAGAAAGAAGCTTAGAGCAAGGAAAATTCGTTCTTATAAAGCATCCTGATATACACTCTTGCCACGGACAAACTCCTTCGAGAACCACAAGAATGCATTACCTAACAATCCTCTTATCACCTCTCCTCAACTTCCTAGCAGTAAAGTCGCAAGCCTACTCATTCGAACACGGATCTCCGATTTTCATCCCGGACCTTTCAACAATCCAAGACCTCTACCAAACTCCTTCGGACTTCAACACTACATCATCCCTATTCTCTCCCTTAGTACAGCAACCTCTTAGCCTAAACCCAAAGACAAATTCAAACCTACAACCCCAGCTCCATGGCACAATCCACATGCTCCCAATCCACCACGAAATCTCCTACCCCCAAACCCTCTCCCTAACCTTCACAACCTCACAAAAAGCTTGTGCTCCTATCTCTCTCGAATACACCTCCGTCCTCGAAGAACTAGCCTTCAATCCCCTCTACGACTATCCAACCGGAATCTACCAAGCCGAGCCAGGATCTCCTCTCTCCTCAACAGGACCTACATTCACGCTTTCTGAAACTGCATCCTTGCACAAAAATCTCTTCGCCAGTTTATACCTAAAGGTTTCGGAGGATATAGAGCAAGAAGAATGGGAAAAGGTAGTTCGTTTATTGACAAGAACTGCAGAGGGAGTGGAGGAAGAGAGGAGAGATATTGGATTAGAAAGAGGGGCTGGGAGGATAAGTGTTTTTACTAAGATTGGGGAGTGCGAGGTCGATGCTACTTGGGCTTTTTATCGGATGGTTGATGGAGTGGTAAGTGAATGTGAGGAGGGAAATGAGACTTTGGATATTGGTCTTGGATTTGGATTTGATTCTAAGGGCGGAGGGAAGAGGGAGGATTTGTGAGGATAGTGCACAATTAAAATCATACGCAATTTAGAGGCTTATTTAAGAAGTTTCTTTCTTTAAAGTAGCAGAAAAATACACTTCTCAACAAACCAGTCTAATAAAAGCGACCAATTATTTCTCTCAACCTAGACTTTGTTTATAATTTACATCTCCACCAGTGGTGACGACGTTGAGTAGACTACCGAGCCATCAGCTAGTACACCAGTCCATAGTGTAGGATTGCCGGCGGTACAGAGGTAGTCCCGCATTTCTGTGATTTGTATGTTGGAGTCAGAATCCTCCGCAATATCCACTTCTCATTGTCTTTCATCACCACCACCTATATCATTCTTCTTTGCCTTTACCCTTCCTTACGGAACTTGTATTATAAACGGCCTAGACCGCGAGAACCCATATTATTCAGTTTAGAACCAGTGAATTTATTAGTCGGGACTTACAGGATCGATTATACGTGGGGAATTTTTCCATCCTTGCTTTTTCATCATCTCCTCAACTATGTAACGCTAAACCCGGTCGACGCCGATGAGAGTAAAGACGCATTTGTCACCCGAGAGTATACCGCCTTGGGGATAGTACTCAATGATCCGGCGATAAGTGTCTCCATAAAGAGACATCCTAGAGCTGTAAAAATTCCCGGCTTAAGTTATTCTAATCTGCGGTTGTAGAGTGACAAAGAGAGCTAGTCTACCTACACAAATCAATCAATTCTCTATGACCTTCTCAAAATGATGCGGCAGGATATTGTTTAGCATAGGATACGCGTATTACTAGTTTAAATCTTAGTTATAAACTTAACACAGTAATGTTTCTTACAATTTCTACCCAATTTAGCCACCAAGACTCGTCATCAATTGAACGGTATGTGGTGATTCGGCCCCCTTTGCGAATAAATAGAGCTACCTCAAACCCAGGAATACTTCCTAACTCATAGGCTTTCTTAACGAGAGTCCCCTTCCTTCTTATACCCCCTTCTATCGGTTCCTTATAGATGTCATTGTCAGGAATTTAGAGACTTTTTACGAAAGTCAAGATTTAAGGAAATTGCTCTTTATAGGGTTATTACTTTATGACTCAGATATTGGATCATGTCTCAAAAGTCTAACCAAGGTAACTACAGACCATCAGAATAGTGACTCCTGATAATTCAGGAGTTTAGATTAGTTTAGAAGGTACAATGTATTTAGAGGTATAATTAGTGTAAAAGTACAATTAGTTTAGAAGTACAATTTAGGTAGACGTACAACTCGTATAAAAGTACAATTAGTTTAGAAGTACAAATAGTTTCAAGGTACAATTGGTTTAGAAGTACAATTTATATAGATGTAAAATTTATTTAGAAGTACAATTATTTTTGTCGGTATATAATTATGGTGAATAGCACCTCGTACAAGAGCCTGGTGGTTCTACATGCTTGGTGTCATGTGAGTGGCTTACCACTCACATACTTAAGCTCATAGGGTATCACCTCTCTCTACCTTTACTCTTCACGAACAAATGAATACACCGATTTAGTTACCTACAAAGGGAGGTAACCTGGATCCCGTATTCGCCGTCGTCACGACCACCAGGTCGTACCAACAATTTTGAAAGTACAACCAGTTTACTCAGATTAACCTTGTCAGTTTCTACGACTTAATAATCACATTAGGTCACTACCTCACCATCTCGCTTAAATTTGATCATCATTTTAGCCAATGATCTAGATATATAACCTTGAAATACGACAGTGTTAATAACTATCTTGGGAAAGAACAGGCTAAAGATGCAAAACGCTAGAACAGAAGTCCTTAGCGGGAGAGATGAAAGAATCTTGTACGATAAGCTTGCCAACTTCAAAGGCACCGCTCGGATAGCCGGCAAATTGATAGAAAGATCATTAAGCAGTTGTTGAGAGATTTTGAGGGTGAAGAATATAGACCAGAGGAACCAGACCACCGAATTCCGGCGATTGTTAATGACTCGGTGTTGGAAGCAGCACGCCAGGTGCAGGGGTTTGAGGGGGGAGATGTCACTTATGGGGCTACCTATGACGCTGACCAGGGAATGACGTATAAGAGCGCGCCTACATTACCTTCCCAGCTTCTAGAGCGCTATAAAGCGGGAATCGACTAACAAATCCTTAAAAATGCTTGTTACAACTCGAACTTAAATCGACGGGAGGTAGGCGGTGGATGATTAGAATCAACGGCGAGTGATTAGAATCGTTAGCGGGCGATTGGAATCGACGGCGGGTGATTGGAATCACGTGCTTATACTACCAACGTACAGCAACTCAGTTANTTAGAATCAACGGCGAGTGATTAGAATCGTTAGCGGGCGATTGGAATCGACGGCGGGTGATTGGAATCACGTGCTTATACTACCAACGTACAGCAACTCAGTTACTGCAAACCCGTGCAAAGCATGTTCCCCTCAGGAAACTCACGCGTTGCCATCCCCTCACATTTGACGGATGTCGAGTTTTCCAGGCGGGGGTTAATGCATATGACGTAGACCCTTGATATTATTTCGCAGAGAGTTTCCCATTGGATTCCGGTCAATAGGCACCCTAGTAGGATTTCATAGGAAGGTTCTATCAGGGGCCTAGTTAAACATATTTCCTAAAAACACATTCGCTAAACTTGACTGTTTCGTGTGGAGGTTCCGCATAAAACAGCCGAACCCCGCTGCGACATTGGCTTGAGAAACCTTCCTTTAGGAATTCATCTCCAGAACGCAAAATGACCATTTTACAGCCTCAACTTGGTTCGAGTAAACCCGAAGAGGAGGTTGCTCGTTCACGTCTTTTTAAGATATGGAAGCACATTACCTACACCCTTATCTCCTCCGTTGCCGTGCTCTACAAGGAACTAAAAGCTGCTAATACTAGCCATGAACCTGCTCTATCAGATCAATCAAGCTTAATCACTAACAGGGAGTCGAACAAATTGAACGATGAGTTTAATAACAACGATAACGATATAATGATGCTGAGCGCAGATGAAAGCGAAGTCAAAGACGAAGTTTATGACTTTGGCATCCCATCTTCTATGATCGATGAGGCTGCAGACCTTTCACATTATAGCCATACTCTCCCATTACAGAGCTTTGAAGAGTTACTGGCCTTAGAGCAGTCACTTCTGCATCGCGATGGGCAACACACCGAGCTAGATGAGACTCTAGTCCGCTCCGGGTCGATATCAAGCACGCACTCGGAGTCTGCATTTATGGCACCCTCTCCACTCATATTACCGTCGTCCAACTCAGACCAGAATCAATGGTTGAATTCTCCTAATATAGATGCGACATTAGTTTATCACTTTCCATCACAAAGGCAAGAATGCTTCGTCAAAGAGACGAAAATAATGCCTCAACAACCAAGTTCGGCTCTACGAAGCAGAAAGTGTTCAAACAAACCTAGAGGGATCCGATTAAGCGTTAAGAATGACTTGTTACCCGCGAGCATACTTGATGTAGCTGACCGTCTAATTGACAAGGATTCAATATCTTATTTTCTTGATAATTGTCAAAAGATTCACGAGGGCTAGATGCTGTTTTTACCTCAGCCTCTGACTTGCTTTGATGGTCCTAAGGTTCGTGGGTTGGGTCCTTCTCTCCGTTGATTTCGCATTTTCCATCATCGTCTCGTAAGAGGTCGGATCGACCTGCAAAGAGTCCGTGCTGGGGAAATGGAGGTGTCTCATCTTTGATCGAAGTTTGTTTGAAGTGCTCGAGTACATAGATGGCGAATATCGGGGCTGTGGTTGCCTCGTGTCGTTCACGGTGTTCCGGATATGCTTGACTTGAAGCCTCTTTGCCTCCTCCTCATCCATGGAATGATTAGCGCTTGTCAAGCGACTGCCCTCTGATGCCGATCCATTCGTCTTGGAAGTCGCTGTTGTGGTTTGAGGGACGACATTTTCGATAGAGCGTTGATCTTGTTTATCTTGCACAGTGAGATAGATCCTGGAGGGGAGATGGGTTCTATCGTCGCTGTATTCGTCTGTCCAGTCTGTTTGACTCAATAAGCCTAGCAAAAGGTTCAACAGCAGGCTCGACAGCAGGCTCAACAATAGCAACAAGCCCATCAACAGGCCCGAGAACAACAGTAGTAACAATACGGTCACTCGAGGCATAGTTCTCAACAACCTGAGATGCTTACGCGCACTTCGCTCGAGTTCTTTATGCTTGTAACTGGAAATGAAGTTCTCGTACAGAATGATATTACCCCTCTAGTAGTCAGATAAAAACATGATGAAAAAGTAGGACGTGTTACCTATTAGTAGAGATTATGAAAGGCAAATATCAGCGTATAATTCAATCCAAAAGTAAAGAAATATAATTAAATTTCTTAAAATAAACCTCGCCTTCGCTAGTATCTTCCGTCAAATAGATTGGAATAAACGACAGTTACTCGTCAAGACTACTCCATTTATAATCGGAACTCGATTAAATTCCATGTTAGAAGGAAATTTGCCTTTGCCGCCGCATCCATTTTTTGTGAATCGATGCCTTCAAGGGCACACCACTGCTCCCGATATTTTAGCATAGCATCATGAGGTGACGGGTTAGTGGTGTGATTCCCTAAACCACCTAAACCCGGTGCTAGGGTTCGTGATATGTATTTTCCTTGACGTTGGCGCCGACTGTCTAGCCATTCCTGGTGCCGAGCCGCATGATACTTTGCAGCAAGATAAATGTATTCATCACAAGCATTTGGGCTATTCCAAAGGTGCCTTATCGACGACCGGATCTCCCATACATCAGCAATCTTCCCAGAAATCTCCCATCTGACCCAAATCTGCAAGGGCGGGGGTCGTTTCCCCTTTTCTCCCTTCTCCTTTGGCTTCAGGTCGTCTACGACGCAGCTATAAGCTAAACCCTGGATCGCCTTGAATTCTCGTTTTCGGCGTATCAGTTTCCTACCAACCTTCTCGTCGCCCAGTCGATTCTCCGGCCCAAACTTTGGCGTTGTGACATCAATCTCTTCTATATCAGCCGTAGAACATTCGAACTTTGCCGCGCTTCTTGGGCCATACATGATAATAACTGGCTTCGACTGGATTTGTTTTTTCCATGCCACAATCTTTCCTCCGTAGCCTTGCCCTGTTGCTTCTCTTGCTTGTTCTGGCGTAAATAGAGCTTGGCAGTCGGCATCATCTTCAGTGTTTAGTTGTCCAAAGCTGCTATCCGGACCGGTCAAGTCGATGTGCGGTAACTCGGACGAAGAAGCTGATGTAGGAAAGAAATTCTAATCCTTATCAGCCTTGCCTTCCTCTGTAACCGTATCAATTTCCTCGTCTTGCTCCTCACCCTGCTCCTCTCTTGCCACTCTGTTAAATTCCATGTCATACTTCATCAAGTTACCTACTAACCCCTCAACCTCCTTCTTTAGTCTCTCATTCTCCTCCTTGTACTGAGGGTCGGCATCATTATCGTAAGAATGGGTAAGCCATTCCAGCTTCTTTTTCTTTTCTTCAACAAACTTGCGATGATTGTCGAACTTTAAAGTGGCTAGACGAACTTTTTCTTTCATTTCTTGTTGGCCTTTGTTCTTTGGTGGTCTTCCTCCTATATCAGCCTTGCTGTTTTGATTTCCGGTTTTTAGAACCTTATTTTTAGTTCCAGCCATATTAAAAATCGTGCTTAGAATATATCTGGAAGTTGAGTAGAATACACATAGAAGCTAGACGATTAATCGCATTTAAAATATTTAGATTCATACTACTCACCATAGAGATGGTATGGTGATCCAATCCGCTCATCTCCCGTAAAGGACAGATAGTGAAGGTTACCTCAAAACATTTAGTTGATGGTTATTTATATAATCATCTAGCAGTTATATAATGAGGGCTCTAGGATAAGGTTATTAATTGATGGCCTCGTCAGTCCCATCATTAATAAACAGTACAAACCCAATGATTAAATCACAACATTAATTAATCCGAGGGTGGTGGATGGAAGCAGTGGACGTTCAAACTATGGTTGGAGTTGGTGAGGCATGGAATATCCGGGAGGTTTATCTTGTATGGAAGATGTTAGATTGGTTTCCGAGCACGTACATTGCACGGTAATAGGAACACGATGACTTTACGTGATCTGCCCCCAGATTCCTATGCCATTTGAGGTAACGGAAGAAACAAAGTAGTCATCTTCACAGACAATCAGGCGGCCATTAGGACACTCCAGCACCCAACCGGCAGATCAGGCGCATACATAGCTATTGAGGTAGTCGCCCTGATAGACAAGCTACAGAACTATGGAATCCAGGTCGAGATAAGATGGATCCCGGCTCATATAGGCATTTGGGGCAATGAAGCAGCAGACAAGGCGGCCAAAATTGCAGCAAAATCACAATTAGAGCGGAATCAGGGAAACCCAAACGTTGTACAGCCTAAGACATACCACCTGCAAACAACTTTAAAGACGTGGACCATGAGACAGACAAGAGCCGAGTGGGCATACAAGTGGGACCTGGAACCAAGAGGGAGAGCCGCATACAAATACACTCAGAAGCCGACACACAAGATCCTACAACTCCATCAGAGGCTAAAGAAGTGGCAAAGTTCTCTATTGATCCAGATGCGCACAGAAAAGATAGGATTGAAAGACTTCCTCTGGAAGAGGAACGTACCTGGGTATGATGATCCAGGATGTGAATGTGGAGAGGGACGACAAACTGTAGGACACATTATACTAAGATGTCGAAAATTCAAAGACCTACGACAGAGAGAATTTAGGGGGAGAGGTTGTTTAGACCTGAAGGCAATCTTGAACGAGTCAAAAACAGCCACAAAGGTAACAAGATTTATGGAACAGACGCAACTCCTTGGGCAATTTAGGAGTTGCAGTACAGTGCAAAGAGACGAAGCGGAACGCTGGGGGGAGACTGAAGGTATAAGGACATGAGATGGCTAGCAGAAGCGGCAGCCAAGGAACCTGATATATTTCAAAAGATCAAGAAAAGCACTTCTGTTACACTATGTATATAGTTGTAGATAGAAGCCAGACCGTCCAGTGGAGGAGGTTGCTGGTCACTGTATAGTGATGAAGTGAAGTACGCTTACCAAATGCGGTAAGCGTACTTCAGCAGCTGCGCCGAAGCTGGACCACTCCGGCATAGCCGTACGGCGGGCTGCTGGAACCGAGTATGAATCAATCAATCAATCAATCAACACAGCCAATCTTGATCAGGCGGTGTCTTAAGAACCATTAAATCATTTTCTTCATGCAGTCTTTCAGCTCCTTGGTCTTTCAAGGTCGATGGACCTAGTCGTCATCCAATTGCTAGGGGTTTAGACAGTGTTACGATGAGGACGCCCCAACTTTGCAACTGCTTCTTCGAGGATAAAGCTTCATCCAAAGTCATTAGTTTCTAGCTCCTAGCATTAATATGAGTTTTGCCAAACTATGAAATTCCTTTGTCTTCTTCTGAATTTTATAGATCAGTCGTTCTCGCTGCTTGTGCTCCTCTTGCCATTTTGCAGTGCCTCCCACAAGCGTGCAATCCTTTTATCCTCGCAGTTACTAGTTAGATCACGTTTATTGAGTTCATCTAGTTGCGACTCGAACTTAGAGAGTTCAACTTTAAGGTAGAGAAGGTTTCGAGAGGATAATCTCCGGTGGCTTCAGTAGATCGATGTAGAGTGGTCTTTATCGCTTGTAATAAAGGACGCGAACAAACGGTACTACTAGATTGTTCGCAAAGAGCTAACCCTCCCACGATCGAGTATCTAAATACTCTTGCTGTTGCTGACTAATTACAAGCAGGTAGTGAAAATGCCACTATTCAAAACCGTAACAGGTACCCGTTAAATATTTTGATCTAGGGCATTCATCTCAATTTAGGGGATGGATGCCATCACTAAAGTATATTCTGAAATAGTAATGAGGTGTTCATGTGAAGAGATATAAACAGATTTTATCGAATCGTGGGTAGTAGGCCAACATTTAGCCGAGGAAGGCCTTACCCTCAACTCCCGCACCATCCAACTCCGTTTCCTCGCAACTGACTTTTCTGCTCTACGGATTCACGCGTGGATATGGAACTTCCAAAAACTCCTTTTATCTCCTGGGGCCTATTTTTCGATAAGATCCTGTTTCGGGCTATATATAAGTGGTATGGACGACTTAATTGTAACTTTCTTAGCACACGTTAGAAGATGTGTAATCTGGTCCAGGGGCCTTCTCATAGCCTTGCAACGTGTAATAGAATCGAGAATGAATAAATGTACGATAAAAACTCGGGAATTAGTTCCGAAAGAGAGCTTACTGAGGTTTAGTCCTGCGCTTTGGCCACTTCCTTGTACTTAAACAGCGCTGCTACTTTGGAGCTCTTCTCTCCTTGTGGTCAATCTACTCATTGCCCCTGGTACAACGCACGCTTGTACAGCAAAATCAATTTAAAAATATAGACTAATTATAGTACTATAGGGGTGGGAAACTTCATTTCCAAGCTTATCTGGTTTGATTCTTCAATGTACAATTCATTTAATTAAAATTTAGCTTATTGTATATATAAAAGAACAAAATCGCGGGCTTGACCTAGGCTGCCGGAAAAAAATACTTTGTGCCAAGAGGCTGGGAGAATGAAAACACTAGACTAGCTACCCTCGATCTTTGTAGAGGTTGCCTAAGTTGTTGACTGTACCAACCCCGTCATCACCTCCGACTCGGATTAGAAATGGTGTCTACGAGCTTGATTTGATGACTATGGCCACCTCGCTTAATTTGATCACCTTGGTCACCCCACTTAATTAGCAGCATAATCACCTCGCTTAACTTAATCACTATGTTACCCCGCTCAATGACCACCTCACTTAATTTGATCACCTTAATCACCCCACTTAATTAGCAGCATAATCACCTCGCTTAACTTAATCACTATGTTACCCCGCTCAATGACCACCTCACTTAATTTGATCACCTTAATCACCCCGCTTAATCACCACTGGGATTGTGTAGAACTGCACAGTTATTAGAATTTATAGAAATCAAAGATGATGACAAGCATTAGTCTTAGGCTGCTTTATCGTTTAGGAGTAAAGGAAAGATATTTATTAAGTGAAAATATGGTGCTCCCTAACAGAGAGGATAAATTTTGTTTAGCGGATTATAGCAGGGCGTGCTGGCTGGACAATTCGAGAAAGTGTTTAGTCAAGCAATCGTAGGAAGAAATTCGTAGTTTGTATAATGGGACTCGAATTTGCTCAGCAATCCAACACTAGTTTGCCTAAGCGCTTAAAGTAAATACTGGCCACACCCTGGCATAGTTAGACTCTGAATGCCTTCACTCGCAAGCCGCAGTTGAGTGCTAATGAAAAAAAATTAGCGGACAAACAGATATTTTAATAGTAATTTATTTTTAAAACGAGGCTTGAATTAATGTATTAAGAGCGTTTCTTTATAGATATTTATCTTCATTTTCAAGTTTAGCATTTAGCAACGAAGGTAAGGCTCTCTAAATTTTCTCACCGTCTTTTATACTACAAAACCTTTCACCGCCCTATATATGTTTCCTCACCGCCTTTCATACCACTAACTCTTTCACCGCCCTATAAATGTTTCCTCACCGCCTTTATACTATAAAACCTTTCACCGTCCTATATATATTTCCTCACCGCCTTTAATACTACTAACCGTTTCACCGCTCTATAAATATTTCCTCACCACCTTTATACTATAAAACCTTTCTCCGCCCTATAAATGTTTCCTCACCGCCTTATATACTCTATAAATTTTTTCATACACCACAGCAACAATTGCCTTCTTTAAACCTACTACATACAAGTGCTTCAAATTTGTTTTTAAAAAAGACGTGGGGTAAACATCACAATAAAAGTATATAATTTAAGGATAACTTCTAGCAGGACTAGTTACCTTAGTCAGATAGTAAGTTTTGTAACGCTACTGTGTTATGGTGGGGGTTAAGAACTAGATTGTTCGTAAAGAGCTAATCTCTCTACGATCGAGTATCCAAATACTCTTACTGTTGCAGACTAATTCCAAGCAGGTAGTGAATATGCCACTATTCAAAACCGTAACACACTGTCCCTATGGTTAGAAATAAAATATAATTTAGTCAGGCTACCAAGGGCCGAGTGTGTACAGCTACCTACCGAGATGTCTAGTGGCTAGGAAAACACTACCCAACTGGGGAGAGGGCACTCTACCCTAGGAGCTGCCCTTGGCAAACACACAACTCACTTGGTAACTACATGACTATATAACGTCGAATTAAGATGAATGACAGGAGGGAATGAATGTCTATATAATTTTCTAATATAATGAAAACATAGGCATTTTATTGGAATTCCAAGTAATGGGGTCAAGTAGGTTATGTAGAATTGATTGCTCCATAAGAAAAGCTATTGTACAAAGTATGCATCTAGGAAAAGGGCAAAATAATAGAGTAGTATCCCGCGGAAGTAGACCAAATAAAGAAATAAGTGTATCCCTCAGTTCAACACATGTGCTCTGGACAAATTTCATAGATCATTGTAAAAGGAAATAGCAGTTAAGAATAAAGGATCAGAGACACAGATTATGCTGCCGTGCCGTGTGATTCATGAAGTGTGGGGTGCCAGCTAAGTAGGCTGAGCAGCCTTCATAAGGACAAGGAAAGCCGTCAGCAGTAGCACGTCTCGTAAGGTGCTGAGTTTTGACGTGTCTGGCTAAACTGTCTTTACGAGAAAATGAGCCGAATTCGCAGATTGGGCATTGCAACGGGGAGTCTGAGTGTAAATCTTTACACACCAACGTCTGGGTATCCCGATTCTCTCCTAGTTTATCCTGAAGCATTTTCGCATTGTCGCTAGCGTGTAGACGATGATGGGCGATTAGAGGCTTCTTTGAGTTTGCTGCTTTGAATTTGCTGGGAGTTTCTTGTAGATGACAGAGCTTTGCAAGGACATCGACCAGTTGAACCCGGACATTAAATGCTTTATCCACATTTAGATTATCAAATGGCTGAAAGAGTAGTCTAGCGACCGTCGCTCGCTCCTCCAACTGATACTCAATAGTTGACGGGTTAAGCACCTCAGCATCGGGAAGGATGCCCTGTATCTGCCGATCTACCTCCTCAAAATGAATAGTTTCATAAAACTTATCAATGCTGCTATTAAGCAACTTGTCCTTTAACTTGCCTTTCTTGCAGTTAATCTTGCGTTGGGCTTTTTGGTGTCGCTTAAACCATGCTATGCCCTGAGCTGCCTTAATAGTAGGGTAACGCAGTTCCTGTCACGAATCACGTGTTAACACGTGAAGAGTGAAGACCAGGCGGCGCCCTGACAAGTTAAGCACATCCGTAGACTTATAGCAAATAGGGATCGTTTAGGTTAGCTAAGCGATCCAAGGATTTCCTTGGACTAGGAATCACGTGACGAGCGACATGGTCGACCAGGTCGACCATGGCGACTACAGAGAACGAAGGTTCTATATAAGACTGGCACGTCTGCCATTAGATAGGAGCTTCGTGCTCAACTTAGTTATCAATCTTATCATATTAGTTTGACATCTTTGATACAAGTAACGAGTTCACTTCCAAGTGAACAACCCGATAGTCTTCTTCTTATCATAGCATACCAACCAGCGAACACCCAGCCAAGTTTAGTTAGCCAGTTTGAGTATTCGTTACACCTTAGTCTATAAAGATAACTAGCTATTATATATTAAAATTAGGTAGCCTTAGCCCCTACTCTATTACCTTAATAAAGTAATTTATATAACGTGGTTTATCAGCGAGTCGATCATATCACCGAGTCGATCACTTTTCCTTGGCACTACCTCCTCAAACTTCAACACACGTTTTCTTCAACTATTTACCATGGAAATTCAAACTCAAGAAGCGCGAATTACTCTAGCTATCGAGGCTATTCGGTCGTCCAAAAAACTAAGCAAACGCTCTGCGGCAAAGATCTACAATGTACCATATACGACTCTTTCCGACAGAATGGCTGGCCGAACCTACCGCCCAGATTCTCAAGCTAATTGTCATAAGTTGACTGAGTTAGAAGAGGAAGTGATTATTCGGTATATACTGGATATGGATTCCAGAGGATTTGCGCCCCGGCTCGCTGGTGTAGAAGATATGGCTAATTTTATCCTTGAATCGCGGGGGGGAAGACGCGTCGGCAAGCTCTGGGCCCATCGATTCGTACAACGACAACCAGACCTTAAGACGCGTTTTAATCGCGTTTACGACTTCCAGAGGGCCTTATGCGAAGATCCTGACGTGCTAGGCGCATGGTTCCGGCTAGTAGAGAATATGAGGGCGAAATATGGGGTTACAGACTCCGACTTCTACAACTTCGACGAGACAGGCTTTATGATGGGTGTTATTTGTCCTAGAATGGTTGTTACTCGTGCAGACCGACGTGGTAGAGGCAAGGCAGTTCAGCCAGGCAATCGGGAATGGGCTACAGCAATTGCCTGTATTAATGGGGAGGGCTGGAGTATTCCTCCATTCTTGGTAGTTCAGGGCAAGAACCATCTCTCCAACTGGTATACCGACGGCGGCCTCCCACCTAACTGGGTTATGAAACCGACAAGCAATGGTTGGACAAATAATGAAACAGGCCTGGAATGGTTAAAGCACTTTGATAAACACACTACAGCTCGTGCAAAGGGTCTGTATCGAATACTAGTTTTGGATGGGCACGAGAGTCATGAATCGGCTGAGTTCCAAGACTACTGTACGAAACACAACATTATTACTCTTGGACTACCTCCTCATTCATCCCATCTAACCCAGCCACTTGATGTTGGGTGCTATAGTGTGTTAAAACGAGCGTATGGTCGGCAGATTGAGACGTTTATCAAGGCCCATATCAACCATATTACAAAGGTTGAGTTCTTTCTAGCCTTTACAGCAGCATACAAGGAAACAATGACAGTCCTAAACTGTCAGTCTGGATTCCGCGGAGCTGGCCTAGTACCATTTAACCCGCAAGCAGTGCTTTCAAAGCTTGACGTAAGGTTACGGACTCCAACTCCCCCTCGGACGTGTAGTGCCAACTCCCTCCCCTGGGTGTCCCAGACCCCTTCCAACCCAACTGAAGCCCTTTCACAATCAACTCTTGTACGAAATCGTATAGCCTGTCATCAAGGAAGCTCGCCAACTCCACTTTTTCAAACAGTTGCTGCGTTAGCAAAGGGTACAGAGCGAATGGCACATGAGATGACCCTTTTGTCTGCTGAGGTCCGTACCCTTCGCGCTGCAAATGAAGCCCTAAGTAAACGCCGTAGGGCTAAAAAGACTCGTGTCCGCCAAGGAGGGGCACTTATAGTAGAGGATGTACAGGATATGTTAGCTCAGGAGGATGTAGATGAGCAAGTACGACGCGACATGCGTGAGGCGGGGGCTGGTTATAAGGAGGGGCAACCTTCTAGGCGGCGCTGTAGAACTTGTGGAAAAGCTGGTCATAACGCGCGAACTTGTCAAGAAGTTATAGATATATCTAGTTCGTCAGATATAGAGAGCGATAATTAATTTAATATATTGTGGTTGATTTATTTAGGTGTAAAGTTCTGTGCCAAGAAAAAGTGATCGACTCGGTGATATGATCGACTCGCTGATAAATCACGTTATAATATCTTCTTTGTTATATTAAGCTTATAATTCTACTCTTACTATTTCGCGAGCTTCTTTAGCTAAGCGGTTCCTTACTCCTATTAGAGTTCGCTAATTATAAAGGTTTTATTCTATATATATAAATATACGATTACCCTACTCTAGTAAGATTTATAGTATAAGCTCTTTATAATATATGTTTTAGAGGTTTCGGAGGTATAATTAAGGCTTATTATTTTAGATTAACTAGATTCAAAAGAGCTAATAATCGTACTATATAGAACGATAAATATAGTGTTGTTAATAGAGGAGTATACTCGTATGTGGGATATTTATCCCACCGAGTTGCTTAGTAAGCACTCCCTCATTCACAATAAACCACTGCTATTTATTATACTATCTTTTTCGATAAATCACTTTGATTACTCGAAATAACTGATATAATATAATGGCTTTTCGTTAAGTTAGGATAAAAGTGGCAGAGATTCAGTTTTTAACTATTAGCCTAAATTGATTCTAAGTACTAAGATGTTTGAAATATCTAGAACAGCTACCTTTTATTGTGCTATCTTTTTCGATGAATCACTTTGATTATTCGAAATAACTAATATAATACAATGGTTTTTAGTTAGGTTAGGATAAGACCATATGAAAAAGTTTTATGTCTCGTGTATTCATAAACTACCCTGATTATGTCTTATGTCTGTGTAGAAGACAAACTAATTAATAACCTTCTTACCATGTCTTAAATGCCAGTTGGCATCCTTCTGTAATGGCTCTCTCTTCAGATTTCGTCTTCTAGGAATAGATGCACCCTTTACAGGTGCTCTCTTCGTCTCAACCACATCTCGCTTAGCAAATCCACCAGCGACGCACTCCTTGCCTCCCTTAAATGCTGCACTAGCAGCTCCCTTCCACAAAGCAGTGACATCCTCAATCATTTCAGGCGTATAAAAGATTCTACAATCTGCCTCCTCATAAGTGAATTGTCCTGGTAACCCGTCCTCTACATGATCTCTATTAATAGCATCACGAAGATTAATTCCGGTGCTCGCGGCTCTTGATTGAGGATAGTTGCTAAGCTTCTTCAAGGCGGTGGTAGAGGGAACTGGGGAGGTGGTATTCGCGTAGAAGAGAACTGTTTCCGCTGTGTTGTAGATATTGGCGAAGGAAAGAATCTGAGCTCCCTTCACCCCACCAATTGCTTGTACAGGTCCTGGTTGTGGTCGTCCTCCCACCATGATTACCTTTACACCGGCTTGGATACGCATCATTTCGGAGAAGAGGGTACATGTCGAGGCACAGTAGCCGTCCGTTAACATGATAATATCTTCTGCTGCGAATGGTTGTGTGAAGTTTTGCCGTGAGCGATAGCCTGTGATGTCGAAGCCGATTCCAAAGGTATTATTTATGGTTGTAAGTGGATCGTTGAAATTCCATCGTAGAATCTCCGTAAACTCGTCTCCACGTAGCTCGACTGGGCCATATTTAGCCTCGAAGGTCTCGAAGGGTTGGTCAGTGATGTTATAGTCGTAACGGTAGTTGAACCACGTCTCGTAAAGATTTATCAGGTCGAAATTATCGGACGTCTGGGGATTGAAATCTCCTCCCACGATATCTGAGATTGCACGACATATTTCATTGAAGGTATCGCTCTCTCTGATTCGCGAGAATCCATCTTGGACAATATGTGGGAAGAGCTGGCGGAAGAGATCATATCCATTCAAGATATATCCCCCGCCATTTTTACTCAAATCGATAACAAGCTTGCTCTTCCCAGCGGCCTTGGCTTCAGCAAAGAAGGTTTCAGCCAGGGCTTGAAATTCGGAGGGTGTATCAGGCTCGAAACCCAAGACACTGAGAACAGCAACATCTTCAAAACCTGTTCCGTTAAGGTAGTAACCCCCGATAGAGAAGTCGTCCAGGATTATTTGGGGCGTTGGGTATCCTGGAACGATGGCACCGCTTGGTGTAGCTTCTTCGATAGCTTCGGCGGTCTGTACTGTTGAGAATGCACCAGGTGCGAACTTTCGAAAAAATGAAGGTCCATCCACCACTCCATTGAAGTTTCCGATAACGTTGGCGAGGTTTTCGAAAGTGAAGACAGTACCGTTTTCAAATTTATAAGTAGTGTTTGCCCCAGGGTAAACATATCTAGAAGGATAAAGGTTAGATGCAATATCTTGTTGTTCATTATTGGGACTTGCCTTGTTCTACCAGCAGTAGACCATAATCCATTCACAATACCGCCAGATCCGCCAGATGCTTTGTTATAGAAAAGAGTATTGTAGCCTGCATCGGCGTCTTGATTGAAAGTCAATGGAAAGATAAAATCCGATAGATACTTTACGGCGTCTACCCCATTGATTTGGGTGACTACTGATGCCGTGTCTGGCGATGAAACAATATCGTCTTTCAGATATATTTGTGGAAGTGAAGTTCCATCTTTGCTGACTGATACCAGTGCTGTTGGTTTGATCCATCTGATGCCATTTGAAATAACATCAGGGTAAAATACAAAGTGTCCGTCGTGAGCTTTGGCGAAGACATTATAAAAGTCGAGTTCGAATTCTGCCTCGTTCGCGTAAATATCCGATTCGAGTTTCGCCTTTACCGAAGCGAGATAGCCGAGGGGGTCGTGAGGTGGGTAGAAGTATGTGGAAGGAGGGTCTTTCAACCAAGGGAGATCTGAAAGAAGTTAATACAGTCGTCAATTCGAGGCTTTCTGACGAGCACATACCACTTTGCCATTCCAAGTATGGTTCTACTTCATTTACCAATTTTAGTGCTGCTTCCTTGTTGAGAGGGACCGAGTTGAGGCATTCTTGAGCAAGCTTCGCGGGGACTGTTGGTGTTGCTAATAAAACTGTTAGATATCTGGCGCCCGGTTGACAAGGTGGCAGAGATTCATTTTTTGACTATTGGCGTAAGTTGCTTCTAAGTATTGAAATATTTCAAAAATCTAGAATAATTGCCTTGATTGTCCTATCGTTTTAGAACAATCAAGTTGATTAATCCAAGAATCTGGAACAATTAACTTGATTCTCCTATTGTTTTAGAACAATCAAGTTAATTGATCCAAATGAATAACATAATAGAACGATTTTTAGTTAGTTGGGCTAAAATAAAAGAAGTCTCTGCCACTTTCACTCTACCTACCTGATGGTGCTGTCGCAACCTGAGCCGCCGATATTTGGCTAATACTAGCACAGGCATTTGTAACACTGGGAGCAACTGTCGAAGAAGGTGAAGCTGTGGGTGTAGCAATGCAACCACAAGCGCTAGAGACTCTGACTGTCAAATTGGCATTCTGATTCTGTTGGCACGCCTGGGAGGCATAGGAAGGAATAGGTGAAGCTGCGATTCTGGGGTTTGTGAGGTTGGCGCAAAATTCTAGGGAAGCCTCTAGACGACCTGGGATTTGTGTAGCTCTCAATGCACGAAGGCAATTGTCGGCATCACAGGCAGCCGAAGCCAGGCTGGCCGCAAATGGAAGTAATGTCCCTAAGTAAAGCATTGTATTACCGGTTGACATTCAAAAGTGAACGGAAGGATAAACAAGCTCATTTCTGGGTGAGGGAGAGCTATATCGCCTTGGTTACCTCCCTGGTTATCATCCTGGGCATTGCATTCACTACTGCACTCTTGCTGCATTGCGAAATTGTTACAAGCAACTTCTCCATCGGGGTACACGAATTGTACTCCGTAAAGATCTCACTTGTAAGAGACTTGTCTATTACTCTATGCACACCTTAAGAATTCATTGTTCTAGAATGCCTCACACAACCAACTTAATTGTCCCAAATGACTTGGGATATTGAAGATATGCTAGTTTTAATTGTCCTAAACCGCTCGCACAACCATCTTAATTGTGCAAGTCTTCTAGGATAATTTTGTTCTACCTAAGTGTGTCCAGAGTAATGACGACTGCTCTTACGAAGTACATACTAATCAGCTCTGTCGAGTATGGCAATCGCATATTGACAAGCGCTTTGAATCAATAAGATAACACGAACTAGATAAGGATGGTTTGACAAGTTCCAATTCAAACATTTGATTGGAGGAAAGGAGCTTCGAATAGATGTCTGTACTTGCGCCGAGATGCAAGATACCTGGTCATTACTCGGTACTCTGTGCACACTATCAGAAGTCATTATGCCAAAGGTCTGGCACAAGTAACTTATTGATTGTCCCAATTCACCTAGGTTAATAAGGAGTGAGAATCAACAATTATTCGAAATCATTTGGACAATTGTTTTAGTTGCGCGAGGCCTTTAGAATAATAACATTCTAATGTAGGTGTGTACAGAGTAATGACCGTGTCTCTTCCAGAAGTACACAGGCTCGACAGGCTTTCTGGGAGCACCATATTGACCAGGTCCATTCTCGGTTGCGCTTGTCCGCTTTTGCCAGCGAATGCAACACGACTGAGGGGTAGAGAGGCAAAGTCCCAAGGATCTGAGGAGAGAGGCGGTAGAATTGTGTAAACATGCATGGAGATCCTCATAAGTCGGGACCTGAGTCCCAAATAGGAAGGTCGCTCATGATAGCAGCCGTACTTGATAGATAGCGGCTCTTGCCCCTTGATAAAACTAGAAGAAGCACTGCTTCTATTGAATTTCATCAATCCTGAATAGATTTTAGGAGGAATCGATTAAACATAGTTTACATCGTCTTTGCATTTTGCTTGACAGAGTTCCCGCGTGGTACGGTCCGTACCACAAGATTGCTTGGCTGAGGATCATCTCAACAGCGGAGATTTTCCCGGTTCCAAACGATTACAGTAAACCCTGTAAGCTGCCATGGGCAAATTGAGAATCACCCGAATCAAATATTGTGGTTGTGTTACTCGAGTACCGGTGAGGAGGAAAGAAAACGGAACGTTGAAAGAGACTTTTTGCCATACATAAAGTACTGTAAGTGGAGGTGTGGCGGAAACCTCAGCCACAGGCACAACCCAATGCTTTTTCCCCAACTCGTAAATATCTGGAGCGTATTAACGAGAAATAAGGTTCGACCATTTACCTACTGAAGTCTACTTACTTTATGTTGGAAAAGCTATGGGAGACTTGGGCGCCAGCAATCCGACCTCTAGTCGACGATGACAAGGTTAAGCTTACCCTGGTACTCGTAACTATGGAGGATCCAAAGTAAGAACAGACTAGTTGAAGTTACATGTTCAAACTTCGAACGGTTCAACGAGCCTCGGTGTATGTGATTGAAACAGTTTTTTTTATGTTTATCAACTTACAGTATCAAACTGAATGACCGAGACATATCTTAAGCCAAATTATTTACAACTGAAATGGAGCAAGTGCCCCCACGACTGGTTTTCTTATCTTGCCAACTCCGATCTATACCCATCAAATCAACCATCAATGCGTAGAAAAAGCCCTCAATGCTTTAAAATTTGTATCTTGCAGCGTTGAGATTTCTCCACCAGTCACGTAACATCCACCTATCGAAATCTGTTATAACCATTGAAGCGCCGGCATTCATAATGAACTTAGTGATGCCGGTTGGTTTCCAATCATAGAAATCTGCGACATAATTAGCTAAATATTGAACCATTAAGTAATAGAGAGGAGAGAGACTTGCCATCCAACGCAAATGTATGTCCTATCTCGTGGAGTACAATATGAATGGAATCATCATCAATTGTCTTCATGAAATACCCCTGTCCAACACGTTGACCCCAGTGGCCTCCAGCACCGGAACCATCCATTCCATCAGATAACCAAAGACTTTGATCATAATGCCTTGCAGCTCCTCCGGGGCATTGAGAGTATTCCCCATCCCTGTTAAAGAACCGTCCACATCTTGGGTCACATTCCGCAGTTCCACCAGAGTCAGTGTTAGTATATACATCCACATCTGAAGTATCGCCTGAAAGGAGCCTCTTGTTTTTGACGGCCCATCCTACTACCTTCACATCAACGGTATCATACGGCCATCCATCGAATCCGGCCAGAACATCCATCCACTTCTTGAATGAACGTTGGATGGCAACCTCGGTCTTTTGACGATCCTCGGGAGACGCTGTATTGTTGGTATCCCAACGGACACAGTAGTTGATCTTCCCTTCACCGGCGATGACTTGGTCGAATCCGAAGTTCTTGAACCTGAGAGACCGAGAGAATGATTTCAACTCACGGTCCCATACCTGTTCGCAATAGTTAGTAATGAATTTCTCCTTCTGTAATTTGAAAACGAGTACCTGCTTCAAAGGTGCTACAAGCTCAGCTGGTGGATCCCAAGTTTTTGGTAATTGGGAAGAATCGGATGGAGCTTGCCTGGCAATCATCTCTTGTGAGTCGGTGTTAAAGTCTCTGGCATCGAATTTGCAAACTTCACGCTCTATAACATGGGGAATAGCACCAGCCTGGGTGTATCCAAGGACGGAAATGACAGTCAGAGACGACAAAAAGAATGACAGAGCCATGATGAATTAAAGATATGGCTTGGTGGATGTACAAGCTAGTACTGTGTGATGAAGAAACCCCGCTTGAAGAAGCAGAAATTCCCAAACAGATTAGCCCTCTCTTCTTATATCCCTCAATGATTTTGCAGACATCATATTTGTGGACATCCGGAAAGTCGTCTGGTACATTTCTTTGGTACTTCTAATTTTAAACAAAGTACATATACAGTACATCTAGAGCTTGTATGCCCTTCTTGGCCCCACAATACCTCAGTCGCCAAGTCTTCTAAATCCGACTAGCTGGCACTCATCGATTGCGAAACTCCATTTACAATAAATAAAAATTGACAAGAGGTCATCGGTACTATATACGTATCTAGTATTTGTTTCGATTCTACTGCGATTTGTTTTGTTTCAAACACCGGGCCGAGGCCGAGACCGAAAAGCGGGGAAGTACCTGGCTATATTTCGTATTTCGTTCAAGCACTACTAGCTGGCAGCTGCCTTGCTGCGGAGATCCTCGCCCCAGTGTAATCTAATAGATGGGTGATCATATACTGTAGCCTCTCTTAAAATGGTTGAATATCGATGCTAATTGAATCGCACACAACATCTTTATTGGCGAAGTACATTATTGATTGATGGTGGCCTGCGCGCTCTTCCTTACCGAGATATGGTGCTTGGGACACAAATAAAGGGGGTTTCATAGAGATCAACGAATAGTTGAACACCTTTATCGCTAAAATATTTCCGGGTCACCAAAAAATCTCAAGTGTGCTAATTTATACAAAACGATTGTACACCGTACGCAAACTTGCAATGATGAATGGAGAGAGACTACATTATCGCTCCCTAAGGAGTTTGACTAGACTATGTCCATGTATATGAGTTTTTTGTATTCTGGTCGCAAGAAACAACCGACTCCCCGTCATCCCACATAACACGAACTGTTTTTCTTGCATCATCCGAAACGCAAGAAGGTATGTATCTCAAGAGACAAAGTAATATGCTTCTTTCCACTTCTTCTCTTTAGCTCTCTCAAAGTTTCTCTCATGCTTTTAACCTCCTCCACCATTCCCCCAGGTGGCAGCGATGGATATGCCTCAAGTCTCCAAGTTAAGCTCTTCAAGTTCACAAGCCTTGATAACAGTAATTTCGTGGGTTCCTCGCACACTTCCTGAATTTCTTTGAGGGAACAAGACGATAGGGCAAGCCAGCGGCAGCAAATTTTGACCTCTTCTATTCCGGTAAAATCAGGGTTGGCAATAGTGCAGTTTACTCAGCTTTGTGCTCAGTTTTACATACCGTAAAACTGTCTATAGTTTCGTTCAATCTTTGAAAACTGCACCAAAAAAAAAAGACAAAACTAACCAAGCAAACTTTCGTAGTTTAATAAAACTATATATTAGTTTTAATTCAAATTAGTAATTGTCCCGTCTCCTATACAAATTCGTCCTCTTCTCTCGAGCCTTCTTAATTAGTTTTAACGTACGGCTAGACTTCCTGTACTTAAGTATAGGTTAATCTACACGGGGCGGGTAGATATATTATCGTTCTATTAGTATAATAAGTCCAGAGTTTAATATAGTAGATTATATACCTAGTAAACAAAATAAGGTTAAAGCGGAAGTCTTTTTAGCCTGTGCACCACGTGTAGCACGTAATTATAGTGATAAGTTTGTAGGCGGTGAGACTAAGCTAATTAGAATACTCTAAATTACCGAAAAAGTCATCTTTTAAGCTTAGTAGCCCCCCTCTTTCCTTAGTCCGTCTTTCAGGAGCTCTGACCAGTTACTCAACCCTATATAAAAGTACCCGATCACCCCAGCTGGTGCCTATTAAGAGCTCTATAAAATAATCTTATAAAACTGCTAAAACTATATAGTTTTAATGGCCAAAACTGTACTAACCAGTTGTTTGGATTTTGCTTGTAAAACTGTACCAAATATCGTAAAAACTGTACCAACCAAACTAACCAGCGGAACTAAGATAGGTAACTATTGCCCACACTGGGTAAAACTGTCCACGAGGGCTTCGGCAATTCTGTTGATGGTGACGGCTTCAATTCTATGTCTCCTACGATCCAAAGCGCTGATAATGTACGGGCCTTCGATCCAACGAAGTAGGAAACGGATTTTACAGATATGAGAAAGTTGGTGTCTTGGTATTACAGAGAGGGTTGATTCAAAGCCCGAAATATCACAGAAATATGGGTGCCCAGAAACAATGTCACCAAATCCGAACGTATTTTTACTGAAGAAAATTTGGCTAGCGAAATCATACCATTCTTTGTTGACGAGACGGATGGAGAAGAATGCTGACGATGGTACTTCGTAATCGAGCACTTGCATGGGGTAGGCTCGTTTGAATATCGATCGTTCTTCTATTGGAGGAAACGTCTGGTTCTGGGGAATATGGTGCTTGAGGGTACTGAACAGGAGTTCAGGTGGAAATGGTCCCTGGGCTGTTGGTGCATTAATTGGTTTCGGGCCTTCGACTGGTGCTACAGTTGCTAGACAGCAGTCGACTTTGATAGACGAATTTGGGAGAGGGACGTGACTGGACAGAGGCTTGCTTTCCGTAACACCGGCCCTAGCAGGGAAACAGTCTATGGGAGCTGAATCACCGTCGGCTTTGATGGATGAACTTGGGAGTATGAGGACTGATATCAACTGAGGGTTACTCTCCTTGACGCCAGCCTGAGTTGAGAAAAAGCGTACATCTGCTTAGCGAATGATCTAAATCGAGCAAGCTTGAAACTTTGCCGATCGACAATAGACAACGGCGATGAAGTGAGCTGATACATACGGGGTTTGAACTTCGTCCACATGGACTAGCGTCCTTTCGTTTCGGAGAGGCCTTGGGAGACCGTTACTCTAACTCTAGTGACGGAGGTTACTTTGAGTCTCTTCTTGAAATACTGCTCGATCTTCTTCGCCATTCTCGGCTTAAGAAGCGTCCTATCGATTGCGGATTGAGAAGTTTGCCCTAGCTTTGTGTTGATCGTTGGACTTTGACAAGATTATTTAGGTAATTAGTTGAAGACTGAGACAGCCTTCTTGTTGAGAAGATTCGTATGCTGAGACATGTTCATCCATATTTCTGCTTACCGTTGACAGTGAATCAAGTTTATTTGCCAAACCCGCACTATGCATGGTGGGCATGCATGGTAGCTTAATCTAGCCAGTTCTGTAGCTTATCACTACTTGTGGACATTCAATCAAACTTGGTCTTAAAAAGTATCCTAAGCTCACCTATGCTTCCCATCACCATAAGCCTAGATAGCGGTAAGCTCATAAATTCTTTCTCCAATAAAATCTGCTTCAGCTCTACTAACCTCGTCTGTCATTGTAAGGCTACCCTTGTCTCGTTTATTCAACAACCTCAAAGCAAATAAGACGTCCTCGAGAACTTGACCATGGGCTGCCAACGATTTACAAAGCAATTGATCACCATGCCAAAACTAAGACAATCTGCCAAATTCTGAACCCAAGAAAGAATCCCCAAAAGCGGCTGAGCGGCCCGCGCCCCTAATCTATCCGTGGAAGTCTAATTGGTAGTCCTCAAAATTCTTATATATCATGACACGGATCTTGATTCTTTCTTAAGAAGTTGAAGTTTTACCGAAGCAGAAATTATAGAAAGGGGTTTCAATCCCCGTAGAGCCATGTATCTATGATGTGTTGGCCACATACTGGCTATTTGACATGCCAAAACCCCTTACCGAGAGGTTTCAGACGAGGGAGTCTGCAGAACCTGCAGATTCAAGGCATTCGTACATACGAAGTACCTTACAGCAGATTCACCTAGCTACCTGCAACGACAAATCCCCTGCTCACACAAAAGTTTACTTTTCTCACCAAATGGAGGTAAAGTTCCTGACTGAACTAAAAGGGATTGTATTACATGACATCAGTCACCGCTGCTTATCTGTTTGTATGTGTTGTTATGTCTTGGTGTATGAAGAGCAATCCCAGCTGGCTGCTCTCACTCGTTTTCTTCTGATTTTCCACAAGGGCCAAGATAGGAGTTCAAGTGTGTTCACCATTCTTTGATAAGCTCTACTAGCAGTAATACTTTATAAGAAACTAGCGTGGGTTCTTAGAATGAACTAGCGCCATGAAATTAACACAGGGCCAGACAGGCGAGTACAGGTTGCTTATTTCATAACGATCATTCTAAATTATTCATATAATTGTTTTAATTACACAAGCCTTGATGTCATTACTTCACTTCTCAAGACTGCGGCACTCCAGATAAAATCATTCATCAACCCGCAAGATTACACACATACCCACATTCACCCATCTCCTACCATACCCTTCAACCCTCCAACCCCCCGCAGTCTCCCCACCAACCAAAACCATCCGCTTCCACCCAATCTCCACAAAATTCACAAAACAACATCAATATCCCATCAAAACTGGTAAACCTGCCCGCCTGGCCCAGTCAGTTAGTGTGTGCACACCCATAAGCGCCGTACACAAAACCTGTTACGCTTTCCTCCCAAAAAAAAAATTGAAAAATTATCCAGGTACGTGAAATTTCTCTTAGATAATACCCCTTGAAAAATCCACTATATGTGCTAGCTATATGTATAGTGGGTTTATCCTAAGGGGAGCCTCCTAGCTGTGAGCTAGGGGGCCTAAAGTTTTTGTTGGATTTTGATTTTTGGTTGGGTTCTGGATAGTATATAATGCGAGGATATATACACCTGTCAGTTCGATGCGTATGTTATGGCCAATGCATATTCATGCATCTTGATAACTTTTTCCAGTGATTTATTTTTACCCTGTCTTCGTAGGCTAGACAGTACGGAGGTAGAGTTGAGCCAGACTATAAAGAACGCACCCGTTCCCCAGTTTCTTTCCTGCTCACACCTTTTTCTACCAACAGAAGTCCCTTAAACTACAACCGACAAAATCATTCGACTACTGTTGTCTTGACATGTCTCAATCAGACGAACAGTCTACTGTTCCGTTCATCAAGATGCAACATGCGCAGCCAGAATTTAGATCCGAGGGACCCAAACCCAAGAGAGGTATACACTATAACTGATACGATAGCATATATCGAACTAACCCTGACCAGAGCACGATCCCCACAAGAAATCACCTACGACCCCCGAACTCCCAGTCGAAATCCAGCTCATAATTTACCTCATCTCATGCCACGCAACAGGCTCTTCAAACTCCCCCAATCCTGCTTTAGACCCGTCCTGTACAGTCAAATTCGCGCGCAGTTTCCATATGGTCTATACACCCCACCGGAACTACCGCCCTTCTATCCATACGACAACATTCACATCCGCAATGCGGGTTAGCAGAACGTGGTACTCAGTCCCAACGACGATTCCTTAGCAATGCTCTGTACATTTGCCTGTTTCCGTATGTTTTCGCTAAGTATCGGTATACCGATGAATTATGCGATTTCTCGCAATCGTACCGGCAGTCAGGTGAGGAAGGTGAGGAAGGTGATACTTGGTACGTACATCAACGCGAGTGGACCCCCGGAGGGAAAGGATGAGGATTGTTATCAGAGGAGACTGTCGCTGTTTATCGAGGAACGTTTCCCACAGACGACTACGATCGACATGGGTATAGAGTGCCGTTGGTTGATGGGCCATATTGACAAGAGGGTGAAGGAAGTCGTGTTGTCTCTATCAAAGAAGAACTTGAATTTGTTTCTTATAGGCGATGCTGCGGATGTGAGTCAACTTACGCAACCAGAAGATAGGAAGAGAGAGCGTGTAATATCATGTACTTACGACAAGTGGGACAGAAGATTTCCTGCGATACTTATGCCGGCATATAAATGTAGATTTATAGTAATATTAAACTAAGGAAGTAGAAGTCAGGGTTTAAGTTTCTATTGTCTATAGCTACTATTATAGTGGTTAATCCAGGTAGGATTAAGGGAAAATGCTAGGGAAAAGCTTTTTCAAGTAGAACATATACTCGACGACAAAGACCTCAAATTCTTCTCATTAGTAAATCAAATTAATACTTTATAGAATTCGAAGCCTATACCGTGGATTTTCTTATGTGCTATACTTACGCTTGTTAGTAAACATTCATAGCTCTTAGCTTTAAGGTAGAAAGAAAGTGCTAGTAGGTCCTCCCTCATAGCTCTTGCCCTCCAGAATCCTTTTAGATCGTAAACATAATGAAGTCGCATTGCGTCACCTTTTCTCATTTCTTTTCCCACTAATATGTCTATGTCTTGACTCCTAAATTTTCGTGTACCATTACAATGCCACTCAAGGAGGAGATTTTTAACTGTGTTGCTCACTACCTACCCTACCTGGCGGGTCTTTGTAAGTAAGTACTAAGAACACGGTATATTCCGAGAACGTTCAAGAAAGTCACTGTTATAGGAAGATATGAAGACAGATGAGACAGAGAGAGGGATGAGATAAAATAGCCGGATGGGATAATATAAAGGGATGAAATAAGAGACCAAATAATGTAGAGCAAATATTCAATTTCACTCCACTCACTCACCTACATGCCTGTCTGTCTACATACATACACTATCCAATCCAATCCAATCCAACTCAACGGTTCAATCCAACCCTTCGTCTCACCACCACAACCACCAAGCGAGCAAGTCAATCCCGCCATACAATCCCCCTTTCCCTCCCTCCACAAAAGAAAAGAAGCGAAGAGAGAGAAAGGGAATCACGAAGAAACCAACTCAAGCAACCCTCTCCCCCTCCGCAAGCGTATGCCAATACCCACTACAATAACACCTCCGCTGCTGCATAATCAACCACTGCAGAGCCCTCCTCTCCGTCAGAGCATCCACCACCACCGCCGCACACCTCGCACATCTCCTCCATTTAGCAACTTGTCTCCCTTCCCCTCCTTCTCCTGTACCTCCCCCTCCCCCTC